TGGAATATCCCTTTGGTCACTGGTATCAGCTGTCCCAGCTGTGTCCCCTCCCAATTCCTTGTGCCACTTCTTGTGTCCGCTCTCTACTCACTGGTGGGGTGGTGTGAGGAGCAGAAGAGGCCTTGGCTCTGTGTAAGCACTGCTCAGCAGTCACTAAAACATCCCTGAGTTATCAACTTGAGCACAATTCCAAAACACATCCCCATAACAGCTACTATGAAGAAAGTTAACTCTATCCCAGCCAAAACCAGCACACAGGGTTAGGCAATGCAATTGCTTTGGTACAGGTGGAATTGCAGATCTTCAATATTACCAAAATGTTTGCAGACCACATCTTTGTTATGATTCCTTGCAAAATGTTTGCTTTGTTGGAGAAAAGCTATAAACCCAAAAAGAGCTGAATTATGTGAAAGTCATTTAGTGGTAAAAAACCTTAACTGTTAAAAATATGGTTTAGTTTATTTAAAAACAAACTAGACTTGTTGGTTTCCTTGGGGCCTGCAGGAAAGATGGGGAGGGACTTTTTATCAGGGAGTGTAGTGATAGAAGAAGGGGTAATGGGTTTAAGCTGAAAGAGGGCAGATTTAGATTAGATATAAGGAAAAAATTCTTCCCTGTGAGGGTGGTGAGGCACTGGAACAGGTTGCCGAGAGAGGCTGTGGCTGTCCCCTCCCTGGAAGTGTTCAAGGCCAGGTTGGATGAGGTTTTGGGCAACCTGATCTAGTGGAGGGTGTCCCTGCCCATGGCAGGGGTGTTGGAACTGGATGGTCTTTGAGGTCCCTTCCAACCCAAACCATTCTGTGATTCTATGAAAATCTGGTTTTGATATCTCTGCTGAAATTTGTTGTATGATTTAATGTAGGTAGGTAAATGGAGTTCTTCAAAACATAAGTCTTATCAATCACTTAAATAGGTCTAAGGTTTTGAAATCTTTAGAAATATGCTCCTGTTGGACTACTCTTTTGGACTTTAACTTACTTTGTAAGTCACTTCTCTGTTTTTGTTTTTCTTTCTCTTTCCAAGGACAGTACCTAAATGTGTAAATTACTTTAGATTGGAGGGGACCTCAGAAGGTCCTCTAGTCATGCCCCAGTTTAAACCATAGCAAATTAAAAAAGGTCTGGTTGCTTGTGGGCTTTAGTTCCTGACTGCTTTCATTGTGAAGACTTTTAATTTATTTATCTGATAAGAATTTCCCTTGTTGCAGCATGTCTGCTGCCTCTCATCCTTTTGCTGTGAACTTCTAAGAAACATCTGACTGTGAAGATAGCATTTACATTCCCCCTCCCTGCTTTTAGCCTTCTGTTCTGCAGATGGAATAAACCCACCTGCTTCAGCTGCTTCTTGTGCATCATGTTCTCTAAGCCCTGGCTGTCCTGATGGCCTTTCCTTGGGCTGTCTCCAGCTGCATCCGTGGGCACGACTCTGCATTCACTGCTCTCTAAGCTTCCCTCTTGCAGCCAGCTACAAGCTTAACTTGCAGTTCTTGTTGCTAACTGTTGCCTTCTTTGAAACAATGATCAATGTTTATTATTTAATGCCTGTATGCCATGTGTCTTATGCTATGGAAGTTGTAGCAGCTTTTAGAGTTGGGAAGGTGGTTTGTACTTCCCAGGAGAGTTTTTCAGCTGTGAGGTGTTGTGGGCACTAATGCAGAAGGTCAACAGGGAGAGTGACTTTCCTTTCTGTAGTATTGATGGGGGTCAGTATTCAGTCCTCTTCCTTCTCTCCTATCACAAGAAGTTCAAAGATGAAACAGTCATCACACTTTCGCCAAGGATTATCTGGTTTTGTTTGCTTGATATTTTTGTTACTTTTTTATTCTTTTCTAGGGTTAAAGCTATTCCCCTTAGTGCCTTGCCCTTTGGTTATATACCTGCCTGTCGTGTTGCTCATACCATACCCAGTAACTAGCAATCTTGAGATATGTTGCTTTGGGCACTTAGGTTCCAAAATACATAGCTAGTATTTTCATAGGTGGGTGTGAGATGAGTTGTGTAAAGTGTAGGATGTGAAAAAAATTATATATTTATTCCTCTCCCTTAATGAAAGGTGTCTGTAGGAATAGGATAAACAGACAAGAACACTGTATGTGACAGTCTTCCTGAACAGGCAGTGCAGCAGTGTGGGATGCAGGGTACAGTCTTCTCTTCTGCTGCATCTGCACTATGCTGCTTATGGTTAGCAAACAAATGGCTGATCTAATTTGGATTTAACTGTACAAATATTTCTTTACCTAATTAGCGTTGCTAATGCGAATACTTTCGAAGAAGCTTTTAGATAGATGTAACTTTTCTGAAATGTATGATGTAGGCACTTCGGAGTATCGGGACATACCAGATTATTAAGCATCTGTGTTGATCAACCTGCATTTTGTAGTGAAAGAAACTTCATGTTTTGCTAAACTTAAGTTTGTAGTAACTGGTATCACAGTGACTCTTATCCCTTGTTTGCATTTGCAAATTTACTTCCTTCCATTCAAGGCTAGGCTTGCCCGTGTACTTCTGTTCTTGCCTGTGTTCTCTCCCAGTTGGCTACTACTTTTTCCTCCTAATGTGCCTGCCCTCTCTCCCCCTGCCCCTCCCCCTCCCAAGTTCATTCATATGCTTTTCACATAAACTCTCATCAGTTCTTGTGAGGGATGATTTTCTGCTGGGTTACAGAGCCTGTTTTCTTTTCCACACTGCAGCAGATACCAAAACATGATTTGAAAGTCCAATGATGTCTTAGAAAACATTTCTTCCAGCACAAAATATCGGCTAGAATGGATATAATTTTTTTATAATTTTTAGATAGTGGATTTTCAAGTGGCACCTCTTTCTTTGTTACTGTTGACTAGTTGGCAAATGTTGCATTTAAGAATAGAGGTTCTCACTTTCTAATATGCATTTGTGCCTCTTATGCCAAAATGTATGAGTTATGCATCACAGGATGTCATACTTTTGTATTTGATGTGCGTTCCTGCCAGATAGCCTTGCACAAAACTGCTTCTGTTACTACTTAGGTGGGAAGACCTGACGATCAAGAAGCTGCAGGGCTTGATTTTAATGATCCAGTTCAGAGCATGTCTCTTGCTGAGTAATATCCTAGCATTGTCTTAACAACCCCAAATCATCATCCAATAATAGATAACTCTGACTTATAAATGAGGTCATGAATGCCTGTAGTCATCACAGTTTTACTTGTAGATAAAGGAATGGCTAATCTCTCCATCTCATTAGATTTTGAATTTGAAAATCATTTCCTGCTTGCTTCCTTTAATACTTAAACTTGTAAATAGCAGGTTTTTCAGTTCTGACTGTACTAGTTCTGAGTTTATGGTAGCCATACTTACCTGCTTCTGTGGCTGAAGGAGGGTCTTCTCTTTCAAGAGCACTTCTTCATGAATGGTTGTTCATAGCAGGATATAAAGCTGTCTTCAAAGTTTGAGTGAAAATTACTGTTTTATTTTTGGGGTGGTAATAGTAAAATGTCATCAGTACTATGTTGCATTAAGCTTCGTATTAAATGCTAGCAAGCTGTGTTATATGACATTTAGGTGTTACAGTTGCTTCTGTTATATTTGTCACTGTCATGATCTTAAGTCATTGCTTCCTTCATGGGCATTTGGAAATAAGTTACTGGATTGCTACATATTATATTGGTTGTATTATAAGTGTGTGTCATGCTTTAACCCCAGTCAGTAACTGAGCACCATGCAGCTGCTCGCTCACTCCTTCCCCCCTGCCCCCCTCCCCAAGGGGATGGGGAGGAGAATGAGGAAAAAAACCCAACTCATGAGTTGAGATGAAGACAGTTTAATAGGATAACAAAGGAAGAGAATAATAATAGTAATAACAATTATAATGTATATAAAACAAGTGATGCACAAATTAAATTGCTCACCATGTGGAAGGGAAAAAACAACCTGTTGCCCAATCTGTTTCCGAGCGGTGAATCTGCATCCCAGCTAGCTTGCCCAGTTATATTCAGAGCATGATGGTATATGGTATATGGCTATATGGCCAGTCTGTGTCAGCTGTCCTGGCTGTGCTCTCACAGCTCCTTGTGTACCTGGCAGGGCATGAGAAGCTGAAAAGTCCTTGAATTAGTGTAGAAATGACAACTAAAAGCATCAGTGTGTTACCAGCATTATTTTCATACTAAATCCAAAACACAGCACTATACAGGCTACTAGAAAGAAAATTAACTCAATCTCACCTAAAACCAGGACAGTATGGCTCCTCCTGGTTATACAGTTGTAACAGTAGCAAATCTAGAAGACAGACAAGGTAACTTTTCTTTTTACATCTATTTGAAGGGTCACTAGATCTTGTCTACTGGAAGTCCAGGTTGAGTAAAAATTGGATAGCTTTGTTATAGCTACCCAACCTCGGGTTTGCTGTGCTCCTAACCATCTTTTCAGTTAATCACCCACTTTGTTGTAACTAAATTCATCTGTCAGCTTCTGTAGATAGAGGCTTATTTCTTCATGTAACATTTGCTCTGCCCTTTTGAAGATATTGATTGCATTGTGCCAAGACTAAGCAGTATTTGAATCTTTTATTACTGACAATGTCTAGAAAGGTTTACTAGCCATTAAAGAGGCCAGAAATATGAGGTTTACAATTAATTCTAGTCATAATCTTCCAGTAAAACTTGATTAAATGGTAGCATGTAAGAATTATTTTGCTACTAATGCTTTAGATGTTTGAAAGCTGGGAGTTGTTAGTCAGAGACAGTGTAAGTCATTATGGTACTTCTGTTTCAGGACCTTCTAAGGAAACTGCAAAAGCAATTGAGGACCAGGAATCTTGGCAGTGAGCAGAGTGGAGTTTTATATTACGAGGTTCTGGTAGACCAGTGCCACAGTGCTTTTAAAGAAATTTATTTTACTGGAAAGCCCCTCAGTTTTCGTAGAAAACATTACTATATAAAATGAGTGTACTGATTTTTTGTATGTGTTATTGATCTTCCTTCACAGAACTCATAATAATAATAAAAAAATTTCTGTGTTGCAGATTTAATCCAGTGCACAAATGAGATGAATGTGAACATCCCACAACTGGCAGACAGTTTGTTTGAAAGAACTACCAACAGTAGCTGGGTGGTGGTCTTCAAATCTCTCATCACAACCCATCATCTAATGGTGTATGGAAATGAGGTAATACAAAAAATGATATGTCTCAGAATAGTTACAGCACTTCATTCCTATAAATGTCAGCTAAATGCTCCCACTAATTATTTTTGTAAGAAAATATTTATTTTTACCTTTTTGTGTCTAACTCTGCATAAGCACAGGTCTCATTATATGTTTGTCTACTTAATTTGTGTCTGCTTTAAAGTTTGTAATTCTAGAATTGTCCTGAATGCTGGAGGTACCTTTTTTGTGGTTTTATTCTAATAATAAACCAAGCAAACAAAATTAACAGAAAGTGACTTGAATGGGATTCTGAAAGCTCAAAATGGAAGCTTTTTTTAGATTCATGCTCTGGCTAATCCAGGTGGCCATTTCTCCCAGATTACTCAATTCTGAACTGATTTCCACCATCACCCCCAACCTTTTGCAGCGAAGACAAATGTGTGCCTGTGAGCGGGCTTTGAGTGTGAACATCTAAATTACACCACATACTGTAGAACAACTAAACAAACAAAACCGCAGTTTACACGAAAAGGAATAAGCTTGGTTTTTTTCCACAACTTTAATTCCTACAGGGCCTTATTTTTTGAAATACCAAGCCAAGCATAGCAGGAACTTGAATTTTCTGCATTAAAAACCCCAAAACTATACTCTTAAGGCTTTCTTAGAAAGTGTAAACATTCCTTTCTTACTGCAAACCGTCAATATAATGTAAGCTATATGGATTTTGGAATTAAGAGGGATGGTTTTAGAAAATTACAAGTAGGGTTTTGTAGAGAGGACCAAAATTTCATTTCAAGTTGCATTCAGTGTTCTTAGTCTTCTAGGTTGTGTAACTGCTTCTTCTGGCTGGCTGGGTTGTGAGGGGTTTTAAGCTTGTTTTGTTTTTTAAATACATATATGTATACTGGTTTCTGTTGCGGGTTAGCTACAGTGTATTTCTGGTCTTGGTGAAAATCTGTTCTTTTAAGCTAAGTAAGCCACAAGAGGGCAAACTTCTCATGTTGACTTTAAGCATTATTGCTGGCGTAATTGACGCTTTCTAAAATAGAGTCTGTATACTTTTGCTGTGCTTGCACTTTGAGTCATATAAATTTTAAACTGATACCAATATGCTTCATAGTAATTAAAGGTATTTCATGGGACCACTGTCTAAAATGCTTTCTATTTTAAGTAAAATTTGTTTGACAGTTTTATTCTTGCCAAATGTATTAGAGAAGTAATGAGGGTAAGATTGCTGCCTAAGATTAAACTTTTCACTAGAAATAGTACTTAAACATGGAAATCAAGTGTTTATGAAAATGTCTAGAAGTACATAGAGAATCTGTAAATCCCTTAGTAAAAAACTGAAGTGTTTGGTCCTCCAGCTTTTGCTTAATTCACTTATAGCTAAGTACTGAGTGCCTGTACTTTTCTCTAGTCTTTTTCTGTGTAACCTATATATTTATACTAATGCAAATAATTCAATAGTACATGTTACACTAATCAGAACTATTTTTTTCCTCGTGTCAAAATGCTATTGGAAGTGAATGATTGGTTTACTTTTGTAGCAGCTCTTTATACAATGGTTCATAAGACAAAATTATTTTTCCTACTGCATTAAGATGTGGTGCCAGTAACCTGAAATGTGTCTTTATAAGATGAAAATAGCATCATTCACTTTGTGAAACGTAATTTGGAATTATGTGTAATGAATGGGATGTACTAAGTGTCATACTGTGTTAATGTTTTATATGGATTCTTGTATTTGTTTAACATTTAATTTATAAGCAAACTCATCTTGATATCACCTTTTTTTCATATTTAAGGTAAGTACTGTTACAATTGTATGCTGAGCAAAGATGCCTTGGCTAATTGCTAAAATGAAATCAACTTATAAAATTGAAGTCAATTGTGAGCCTATAAAATGAGAAAGTATTTGGGGGGATTTATTCAGAAATTTTCAGTTCCATATTCTGGCTTAAAATAAAGTATTTCAGTCAGAAACCTTCATGCAATATCTACGTGACTGATTTGTTCACAGATTTTTTTACATAAAAATAACTAGCTTAATTTGAAAATTTATCTGAGTTTTTGTAATAGTTTCCAGATTTGAAATCAGTCTTAAAGAATAAAAGCTGAATTGCATAAGCTGGATAAAAAGAGTTTCTGTTACTCTGTTACTTCAGTTGCAGCTCATTGGTAATATAGTAAAAGCATTCAAATTTTTCCTTTCATCTAGCGTTTTATCCAGTATCTGGCGTCCAGAAACACATTGTTTAATTTGAGCAATTTCCTAGACAAAAGTGGATTGCAAGGTAAGGCACCTTTTAATCAAAAGTTAGTAGTGTGCTGCAGGACAGTGAATACAACTTAGTAACTCTAATGGACCGTGTCATTTAAGAAGTAATTTTTCTGTCTGTTTTACCCCAGGCTGCATTTCTTAATTTAAAATGCTGTTGTGGCATGACGGAAGTTGTCTGCTGGAGGAATTTGTTGCATCTTTTAGGAGAGGCTTACTTATAAATGCTTCTAACTTTCCTAGCTAAACAGATCTGATTTAGATCCTCTTATTTCTGAAGATTTTCTCCATTTGGAGAAGTATGTTTTGGTTAGTAAGTTAAATTTCAAAAAATACACATGTACATCAGATACAGCATGTCAGTGAGACAAAGTCTGTGTCAAAAAAAAAAAAAAACCCAAACAACATTTTGGGAAATTGTTTAAAGACCATTCCATCTGTCTTTGAGACTAATTCTATGGGCAAGTAAGTTTCTCTCTGGTTCAGATTTTTCAACTGAAAAACCCTTGCAAACTGTTATGCTGCAGTTCAGTGCAGTTCTGATCATACACTTTTTTTTTTCCTCAGGAGGTTTCTTACTTTATTACTTTTTATGTAGCTGCTTCTAATTTTTCACGAACATGTTCGTGAATGCATAATGTAATCTTCTTGGTAATAGTTTCTATCATACTATGAGATAACTTGCATAAAAACACTTTGTTTTGCTTTTAGAAGTAATTTCCTCAGGAAGTGAAGTGTAAGCTTCTACATAGTTCAGGTCGTCTAGATATTTGCAGTATTGTCTGTTTGATTTACATGGTGACTATGATGATGTACACAGTTCTTCGTAACACGGATTAACTATACAATATCAGGCAAAAATATAGTAAAGCTGTCTTGTGTTAATATCTTGCACTTTCTTTAGAGTAAGGTTCTTGATCTGTAATTGATTAAGTAAGTAATAAGCTTCTGAAACTTGTTTTTTAGGTTATGACATGTCAACGTTTATCAGACGGTATAGTAGGTATCTGAATGAAAAGGCAGTTTCCTATAGACAAGTGGCTTTTGACTTCACAAAAGTAAAAAGAGGGTAAGGACTGTATTTTGTTTTGCTTATCTTGAAGTTTTGTCTTATGTCCTGTAATTCAAGTGGAAAATGCCAGTGTTGGCTCCAACTTAGCACAGACAGTAATGTCTGCTTCTCTCAATTGTATATCTGCCAGGACACACAAAGGCTCAACTGCCCAGTTATGCATATTGCAAAAATATTTTACTTCAGTTATTAAAATGTGTTGTTTCTTTAAACATTAACAGTTTAATATAAAGAAATGAAAAATGGTATGCATCAAAGTATATATCAAAAAAGTGGAAGTTTGGACAAATCTTGAAATGCCTTTTCTGCATATAGGATATGCGTGTGGTCAGGTGGCTGCAGATACTCTACAGAGTTACACTGTTGCTTTATTAATCAGGTGTTTTAGACCTAGACAAATCTGCCGTGATAGATCACAAAGTTACTTTGTCTTGTGTGTAGTATAGGGGACTATGCAATTTACTTGTGTTTCTAGCTCTGGAATGTTTAAATGACAGGTATTCTGTGAAACACCTTGCAGTCCTTCCTAGTGTCTCTCTATTCTTGTCCCAGAACATCTGTACAAGTTTACTACCTTTGTAAAGGTAGTGCAATTCATACTTTTAACAGAACATTGTAGTAGATGCTACTCAGAAGAGTTTGTGTGCAGGAATTAAAATTTTCCCTGGAAAGTGAGCTCCTTTAAAAGAAATCAGTTGTTTTGAGACTAGGTACCTGTTTACAGGTAAAATAACGCAGTGCAGGGCACCAGTAGTTGGGTAAATTGCATGTTACAGTGAACGATGGAATTAATCTGGAGATCTCCTTCACTGGTAAGGCTGGAGAGGATATACTGGTCATGGTTCAAAGTCTTTCCATCTTTGTCCATTATCTCAGTATGCAGGGCTTCTTAAATTTTAAAAACAATAATTTCGGTTTTACATTTGGGTATCCTTTATCATCCATACACGCGATAATTTATATTGATGCTTGAAAGTTAAGTCTTAACTAACCCATAAAAATCTCAGCCTAAAACTGTTAAATGAGTTAACTGCAGTAGTGGGCTGCCTAATGATATCTTGCATTAGTGTTACAAAGCCATTTGAAATTGGCCCGAGAAGACTGTCCAAATCCCTTATACGTCCTTGCTAATACTGTACAGTTAATTTTGTTTTGAAATGTAATGGAAAAGTAAAAGGAAAATTGTAGTGGTCTTTCACTGTTTCTGCCTTTAGAGATGGTTGGAGTCCCAACAACATAAACCACTTAGCCTTTTCTGCATATAGGATATGCATGTGGTCAGGTGGCTGCAGATACTCTACAGAGTTACACTGTTGCTTTATTAATCAGGTGTTTTAGACCTAATGAGGTGAATTATTTAGCCCACAGCATGTGCCTGGAGGTCCTCCTGTGAGCCAGCAGGGATAACTCTTCTGGTGGCAGCAATCTACCTTTTCCACACCTTTTTTTTTTTTCTTTTTTTTTTTGTTCTCAGGTTTTTTTTCTCAGGGGCTCCACTCCCGTGCCCTACCATGTTAGGTTTATTGCAGTTGCTGTTTGTTGTTAGGAGGGAGTATATGGCACAAGTAGAAAGCTGGAAGCAGCGTGCTCCCCATCACTTTCCAGCCTGGAGAACAGCCACAACCTTTTCTGTGCAGACATGCTGAGATTTGCACTTGCAGGAAACATTTGGTTTTCTGTGTGCATGCTGATGCAACTGCAAGGCTGTCTGACTTGTCTTACATTACAGAAAGTTATTTCTCATCACTGAGGTGATTTAGTCTCTTCCTTGGTTGTTGCTTTTCTTGGATATTTTTCATCTTAGTCTATTTAATCTGGACAACAAATAAACAATCAAATATTGGGAGTCAACGATTAAAAGGAAGCGTCATGTAGTCTATAATCTTTCTGAAAAAGCTTGAAAAACATGTTGTCACATTTGTTTATTCTTTCTTACTGCTTTTACTTGAAAAGAAAATCATCCAAACTGACATGAAATAATAATCAGCTGATTGGAAAAAGCGTGGGTAAACATTTCCTTCAGAAATAACCTTCAGAGCATTTTTTTTTTTGTTACCTGATGCATCGTAGATCTGCTGTATTTCTGAGCACTATCAGTTTCATTTCCTCTGAATAAAAATTCATCTTGGATTCATATTTTGGCCAAATAAAAGTTGTTGCTTTTGTACACTGCAGTTATTACAGTTGTATTGGCTAGACAGCATTCCTAAACATCGAAATGCCTGCTTTGAATGGCAATGATTTAAATGTTTTCTCTGACCTATTTTATTTTCTATGTTGTTTCTTACTAACAATTGCCTTCAAAATTCAGGTGAAGAATTTTCTTTTGTTTTGCACAACAGGGCTGATGGAGTGATGAGAACAATGAGCACAGAAAAACTTTTAAAAACTGTACCAATTATACAAAATCAAATGGATGCACTACTTGACTTCAATGTAAGTTTAGCAGCATGTACATGTCTAACATACTATTGACTTTGTTGTACAAACCTGCACAAGCTTGTAGAATAGGTCAAGATTAAGTCTTGAACTTGGTTCCATGTTATCTGCACAGCTTAAAGAGCACAAATCATTTTGTTCATTGATATACCCCCGAGAAATCAGAAAAAAATATGATGCTCACTGGAGAGAATGTATTGCGCTAAATTAGTGTTGTTTGTTGTGTATGTTATGTAGGAATTGTTTGTTCATTTAAAAATTTATTATTTTTGTCCTCTGTCTTTTATCTTAATGTTAACTACCATAACTAACTTAGTAGAAATGTATGCCAAGATGATTTGATTTAATTCTGTGCTGAGCGATCCTGGATTGACTTGCTATGCTGCTACTTTCCATTAATAGCCAGTGAGATGATTGGAAAGCATGCCTTGGGATAGAGTGCTGAAGTTCAACTAGCAGTTTTCCAATAAGTTATCAATTCAGTTAAATTAACTTTTTTCTGATCTTCCTAGGTCAATAGCAATGAACTTACAAATGGTGTAATTAATGCTGCCTTCATGCTCCTCTTCAAAGATGCCATTAGACTGTTTGCGGCATATAATGAAGGGATTATTAACCTCTTGGGTAAATATAACTGTTTTCTGCAATGTTAATCTTTGGGGAGGGAGCTCAGTAAACAATTGCAAATAGCTGCCTTTTTTTTTTTTTTTTTTTTGGAGAAGTCGAAATTGTCTTACTGTAAAACATCAAAATATTACTGTTATTTCCAAGTCGGATTTATTTCCAAGGTTTTTCTGTCCAATTGCATTTTCCATTGCATTGTATATAGGGGTGGGTAAATTTCTGAAAGCAAAACCAATTCAAGATTTTCTTCACTTAAACTTTTTCTTTCAGTGTTTGTTGAGGTTTTTGTGTTGGGTTGTTTGTTTTTTTATCCCCTCATTGAACTACATGGCAAACCCAAACCATGATATTGATGCTTTTTTCTTTAAGAAACAAGATCAGATTTTGTTTCTCTTTATTTGAAGTAAGTTATGGTCAGTTACAAATTTGCAGTCACAGCATCTGTGATTGCTTGGCTATCAAAACTTTAATGTTGGTTGGTTTTAATGATTGGTTGGCTTATGTTTCTAGAGCATACCTTGTATTTCAAGGGGAATTACAAATTCAGACTTCAGGCCCTTTCACTTCCACACACTGGAGATGCAGAGGAGCCTAAATTTTGAAAATAATTAAGTTGAAAGTAATCCGATTTGCTTGGTTTGGTTGTATTCTGCGATAGGATGAAGCTACCCAAGTGCTATTATTACCTAATGCTTGCAAAATGGAAAGCAAAATCCAGAATTAGTTAGTAAAGGACAGTCGTGCTTCCATTCTGAAGCACCTGTCTACTTCTTTTCCCTCAGTAAGAACAACTAGCATGCAGTTGCTTTCACTCATGTTTTGTGTGAAGCTTAATATAGAAACAGGCCTTGAAAGGCTGTTTGAATGAGTGTCAGACCCTCTAGCTTTCATCACCGATGTTTTGCAGTCAGTTGCACCTCATTGTGGACCACACCATAACAAAAGGCATCAGTCCGGCAGACAATATCAAAATCTTACCTTACATGTGGCCACTGGAATGGAGTAGATGTTTGACTGCCAGATTGTAAAATTACTTCCCCCCCCCAAGAGGATGAATTTACATTTCTTTAGGTGACCTATTCTTAAACTTGATTGTCCTCTTCAGGGTGGTTATGCTTTTGTGAGATCTAGTACCAGCAAGGTAAGGTGTAATTGCATGCATGTGATCATTAGCTCACATTCAATGGAGCTTTTGTCCTTTGATGCAAGTTAGGCATAGCGACTTTTGCAGTTAACATAATAAAACAGATTTGCAGGCATTTTCTGTTTGTCTTGATTTATATGCTTTTACTTTACATATCCTTTGCCAAATGCTTGATTTCTTATTTAATGCAAGTATTCTTACTGTTTATAGAAAAATACTTTGATATGAAAAAGAACCAATGCAAAGAAGGCCTTGATATATATAAGAAGTTCCTCACAAGAATGACACGGATCTCGGAGTTCCTTAAAGTTGCAGAGGTAAACTTTAGTCAGCCAAATGTTGCCCTTTATTTGAAACAGCTTATAAAGAGCTTGTTTTCTCATAAAGCAGCTACTTCTTCCTGCCAGCCTAATTGCAGTTATATCAAGGGTCACCTTGTCAGCCTCTACTCTGGCGATTAGTTCATTGGAGGACTGTATTGAAAAACCTGAATACAAAATACTTACTGGTTTATCTTTTACTGAAGGAGGGTGTATAAATACGCATTTAAAATTTCTTCAGTTACATAATAATTGTGAGCTTGCTTTAAGCAAAGTAACTTCATGGTGATCTGCTTTCTATGGTTCTAGCTGTATTCTAGTTTGAAACCCACAATTCGATACAAGTTTTTGAATGAAATAACAGTGTCACAAATAAGAAATTGAGACAAGTAGATGAACATGTGATTATTTTTTTAAAGATGTCTTGGCTGTAGGTGTGTTTACAGAGGAAAAAGCAGTTATTCTGCAGAATGTATTGTTTGGGGGTTGTTTGGGGGTTTTTTATTGTATTTAGTCTGTTGCATTTTTGTTTCTGAAGCATTGCTGAATTGATGTCCTAGTATTATGGAGTTCCTCAATTGAGATGTGCTCCTGTTCTTGTTTTGCTTTCCTTCATTATTCATAACTCTCTTAACAAAAAATTAAGCCCTAAAGCTTGGCTTGCTGTCTGTCCTGGCAGAATATCTCTATCAGAGGTACCACCTGCAGCTATCTTCAGCTGATAACACTATCAGCTGAAGTAGAGAGTATTAATCTTTCTATTCTAACAACATATATCCTGCTGCAGAACACCTTGAGTTTGATACGCATTTTAGAAAATAACTTCTTTACAAAACTTTGAAGGTGCTTTGTTTTAGCAAAAATACGGTCTATAAAAGTGGGTCTGAGAATGTACCACATAAATTGTGGAATAGGCAAACTTCTCTAGCCTTAAAATTCTGAAACATTTGATTCTTATTGTGTTTTATTTCTAAGGTTGTATCTGTTAAAGTATGTCAGCACGCCTACTTCAAATGTGTATAGATTTAACAGCAGAATTTATTATTTCCAACTGTCATAAAGTTCGGATTGTGGAGATTTAAAATGTACATGGACAGGTTTGCGCTTTTCACATGACTATCTTAATGTTGTTTGCTTTTTGAGCATCTCTGCCTTGAACAAATGCAAACAAGTTCTAAAGCTCATTTGTTTTATTACAGCAAGTTGGAATTGACAGAGGAGACATACCAGATCTCTCACAGGTAGATAAACCTATTATGTGTTTGCCAGTACATGTCTGCTTTGGGGTTGCATAATCAGAAAAACTTGGCATTATGGCATTCACTTATGCTTTCTTGTGTATGTTGTCACCAGATTATTTCCAAGTTTGTGATTAAATCTAACCTCTGTCAGAGCCTGGCTTTTATATGCAGTGATCCTATTGTAAAACATTATAGATTGTTTCTGTCATACTCTAATTGAGTTTTAAGACAACCTGATTTCTGTCATGCTTGAAGACACAATTTGTATCTGTGAGTTCACATAATGAAACTTTTACATGATATTATGAAGCTGTGGTTTTTAGCAAACTTGCTTTTGGCTATATGCCCCTTTAAATCATTGTGAGGGCTTGCAGAGCATACACATAGAAATTACTTTAGGTACAATTTCCTCCTTAGTGTCTTTTGAAATACTGACTCCTTCCGACTGCCTACTTGCTGTTTCTTAGCTGTTAATTTTAACGTCTCTTGACGTATTTCAGTGCTTACTGGTGAGTCATTATGACAGAGTAATGTAGCGAGGAAAGTACATCACCTGGTATTTGAAGTCATTATATACGTACAGGATGCCAAGATGTGATATAAGTATTGTGAGCTGTTGTACCAGTTGCCCTACAGTTGCATTCTCTTTTTGCAGGCACCGAGTAGCCTTCTTGATGCTTTGGAGCAACATTTAGCTTCTCTAGAAGGGAAGAAAATCAAAGATTCCACAGCTGCAAGCAGGTGCTTATGCCCTTGTCCTTTTAAACTTTTAAATTTGTTGAATCAAATGTTAAATCCATTATTTTTTTATTTCATTGTAAACTAAGGTTAGTGTAGGCTATGTTGAAGATAAGACTGTATTATGATAGCAATGGTAGAATAGCAAGTTACCATATCTTTTGCGAAGTACTTAAGATAGCTTCTTCCAGAACTGGAATCTAAGGAGCTGCAAGCACTTGTTGTAGAATCCCTCGTGTAATAGTTACATACTTTTAGCATTTCATCTCGAACTTCTGAAGAGAAACTAAGTTTTTTTCACTTAGTGCCTGTAAATGTTCATTTAATGTTAATAATCAGACTTCTGTAAGGTATGCAACATTTATGTCCTTAGATTCTTACATCTCAACTCTAATCCCTTTTTTGTCAAAGGCAATAAAATGCTTCCAGAAGTCCTTAAATTAAGAATAGATTTTTAAAGTAATTGGGGATTAAAGCCATACTGTATAAAGTGAAAGTCAGTCCCTGATTTTATGTGCTTGCTAAAACACTAAGTGCAATCTAGAGAAGTCTTCTAGGCAACTAACTAAATTTTAAAAAACTTAATATTGGGGGGAAGACTTGCAAAATTAAACAGCACTTTTTTTATTGCATGTTCAAAAAATAAGGCAGTTATATTTTGTGTTCTTTTTTTTATGGTAGTGACAATATTAGGTCTTATTTTAGAATATTTGCTTTCATTTGTAAGATCACTTTAGTTTGTTCTAAAACTTAAGTTAAAATCTTTTAAATCTTTTTGTACACTCTTAAATGTGATGATAAATTACAAACTTTTTCTCTGGGATATACTAGTTGCATTGATAGCTTCTTAACTAAAATTGTTAAATTAGCCACAATTTGAACTGGAGCCCAGATTATCAGAGATTCTTTTGCATCTACAAATAATTCCATTTTAGGCAAACAGGAGAAGAGCAAAGGCTTCAAACATGAATTCTATGATCCAGTTTGGAGGGGAAACATTTAAGGGGAAAATCCAAAATGCAGTATATGAGAGTAGATGGCATATGTTCTAGGCATTTTCATTTTGCAGTTCATACAGTATCTCTTATTTAAACTTATCATTTTGTCTTGTACAGTGTAAGATATCACCAATGTTATAAAGAGTTCAGAAGGAGACTGGGTGGATACAAGCAAAGTGTTTTTTAGATGTTCCTATCACGTGTCACCTATTAACAGCCAGCTTTTCTCCTGTCCGATTACTTTAGAGCTACCACCCTTTCCAATGCAGTCTCTTCCCTTGCAAGCACCGGCCTGTCTCTCACGAAAGTTGATGAAAGGGAAAAACAAGCTGCATTAGAGGAAGAGCAGGCTCGCCTAAAAGCTTTAAAGGTAGGCATACAGAATTTTTACTTGAAATCACTCTTCTTATGTTTTTATTGATAGCTTATTAAGGTTCTTAAAGGAGCAAAGGGAAAAAACAATTATTAATACTGCACGTGTACTGTTGGCAAAGCACTGGAAGTAGAATCTTACGTACATATACTGTGCAACTTGTGGAGAGTTTGTCAGAATAGTTTCTGAAGGATTTGTGGTACCACAGACTCTTGTAATTATAAGTAGCTTACACTAGTGTGTGGAATAAATAAAGGGAATTCTTTAAGTTCTGCTTTGTTTTACTTCCAAAGTCATATACACAAATGTTGTTTCTGGATTTCTTATGCCAGCTCACTTTCCCAACAGGAGCAACGTCTAAAAGAACTTGCAAAGAAACCTCATACCTCTTTAACAACTGCAGCTTCTCCCGTGTCGACTGCAGCAGGAAGCATAATGACTACACCAGCCATTGATATTTTTCCTACTCCTAGCTCTTCAAACAGGTATGCTTAATGGTGTTGCTTCACTGTGAGATGCGCTACAACTAGGGTTTCCGCTAAATTTCTGCTGCGGAGTACACATTGCAGAAGGTTGGTTGGGAGTAGAGTACGTTAGTGATGTGATAAGAAATGATATTATGGGTAAAGTTGATGGGAAAATAACCTATTGCCATAAATAATGTAAAAAGTATGTTTTCATCATCCACTTGCAGAATGGTTTCTGATAAGAACCAACTGCTGACAGCACTTGTAGCTGTTCTTAGTTAGTGAGCCAGGTGGTTGGAACTGTAAAACACACATGCTTTGTCCCCAAAGAACCTTACAAGTTGATTTGGGAAAAGTAAAATAAAAATTCAGCTTGGGAGGTCATAAAGATAATACTGAATTTAATGTTGTATTTCTAGATCTTTAAAAGTAGAGTGGTATGAAATGTTCTTGGTAGATTCTGAGAAAAAAGAAAGCCTGAAACAGGGTTTGAAAGAAGTGAGGCAAGTTTTGCAGTCTTGAGTTGTATCTGGAACATCTTTCTGCAAGGACTTGCAAAGATAGTGCAAGAGTACTCACTGCATGGTAATCCTGATCTTTGACTAGCAGGAACTGTTGGTATAAGCGTGTGTTCTTCGTTCTGTGAAATACCTGTCAAATCAAGCAGTAGGTACAATGCTTTTATCAGTGTAGAAGGAAATAGCTCTCTGAAGGCTTATTTTTGCTTTGGATGTGATCCTGAACCTAAAGGACTGCTTAGTTGTTCTGTCAGAGCTACTTGTCTTCTTCAGCTGTTTGCTGTTGTTTGAAAGTAGTCAGCACTTTGACAGCCTTCAAAAAAATGTAGGAAAGTATTTGACACACTATGTGGAAAATAGCTGAATCACCTCTAAGGAGCTAGAGAATCCGTCAGTGTAAGTAACTGCAAGACTTCTTTGAAAAAGGATTTTCTTTCAAATTGCTTTTTAGAGGCTGAAATATTTGAAATGGGCGTCTGCTTTGAACTAGTAAGTTTGAATATCTGATCTTGCTTGTTAAGAGGTCTGAAACATAGAAACATCTGATAATGCTTTTTCAAGCTGCCAGAAATGCTACATAATGAAGACAAGAGCATTTTTTTTCTAAAAAAGCCCAAATGGTAGTTTGTCTTCATGTTTAAATTCAGTTGCTGGCAGTATGACTGCTATGAGCAACAAACTCAGGAGCTGCCATGAAGGCGTATGTTGGGTCGTAAGTTCAGTTGCTGGCCATTAGATGCAATGTCTGATTAATCCCTGTCATTAACTTGAACAAGCTTTACCTTGAAAATTATCTTGGTTCTGCTGCTCACATTACAGGGCTGTGCTAGACTATGCTGCTTTTTAATAGGACCAGTAGTGGCAAAACATGATTTCAATCACTGTTGAAATGAAATAGTAAAAACTGAATGATGCAAGTGATTGGGTCAGCAAGAGAATATACAGAGATCTAGGATGTCGCTACTAGCCTTTAAACTCATGCACTTCTCTCATTTCAAAAGATGCTTGGGTGCCGCAGTGACTTAGCTTCTGTCTGTAGTAGTGACCATACATGCAAATTTTGGTTCCTTTTGTGTGCTGAACAGTTCTGGGTGAGCACCAATACTCCATTTTTTTGCAGGACTAATTTAAAGTATAAAATTAATTCTGCAAGAGGATGAATTTAACTGTTCCTGTTTAACTCTTGAAATTATTGCAGCAGTTCTATTTCATAGAATCATAGAATCCTTTGGGTTGGAAGGGACCTTAAAGACCATCTAGTTCCAACCCCCCTGCCGTGGGCAGGGACACCCTCCACTAGACCAGGTTGCCCAAAGCCCCATCCAACCTGGCCTTGAACGCTTCCAGGGATGGGGCCTCCACAACCTCTGTGGGCAACCTGTTCCAGTGCCTCACCAAGACTTTAAGACTTTATTCTTCATTTCCCTGTGATGTTCTTAGGTTTCAATTTGGTTTTGAATACTCTAAAATGTGCATTTAAATGAGTTTTCATTCACATGACTAACGTGTGACAAAGTGTTTCAAGGCTTCTTACATTTTGCTTTCCCCAGAGTTCTTCAGTAGCTCATAGAGGTAAGCCAGTTCCTCAGCAGTGGTTGATAGTGGAAAGATATGAGTTGTGGAATTAAGATGTTACATTTTGGCGGTGCAGCCTCTTAGAGTTCATTCTGTCAGTCTGCTTTTGTCATACTGTAGGGCTTTCGTAAGGCTTTTTTAAAAGTTGCTGAAGATTGCTGAACATAATATGCTGTAGCCCAATTGTTGGACTGTGAGGAAGATGGCAAGACTGCTGTTTTAGCTTTGACAAAAGTCACTTAGCATAACATAGAACTTAGCTTGCTAAATTAACACTTTTCAACTTTCTGATTTTTGCCTTAGTTCTATCCATTTTGTAACAACCAATTTGTAACAAAGCTTTCGTTACTGTTGACAGTTACTAGCATTCACCTTGTATTGAAAACTGTGATGTAGTTCAAACAGTTGTGTTAATTTGTCTTTGTAGCACTTCAAAGCTGCCAAATGATCTGCTTGATTTGCAGCCAACTTTTCATCCCTCTGTACATCCTATATCTGCTGCCCCACAAGTAGGAAGTACCTGGGGAGGTAAGAACTCTGAATCGAATTAAGGTTCTAATTGCTATGGCCATGTTCCTGTAAATGATTTCCCTAGTCTCTGGGCTGTTTCTTCTTTAAAAACAGAAGTCTTGCAAAGACAAGCTACAAGTGCAAGAGAGTAAAAAAGTCAAATCTGGGTATGAATTAAAATAATGTACAAAGACTTTTGATAGGAGATGTTTTAGTAGCAAAGTTACTTTAATTGTCGACCAGTTCTGTCAGCCTCATAACTGCTGTCTTCAAGAGTCACATAGCAAGCCACGGAAACTTCGCTGTGAGAAGTCAATTCTGTGAAGATATCTGCCAGATAGCCCATATTGCATACATGGAACTTGAGTACAGTTGATTTGGGTGTTTTTTATATACATTTAAAATTTTATCTAATGTTAAATCACATTTACAGGTGATAATAGAGAAAAACTTGTATGAGACCTGAAGGGAGGCAGTTGTGACAAATGCATAGAAAGTAAGAAAATCCTAAGTTAGTTACTGAAAACAATAAGGCACCTCTTTACAAATTCTCTTGTATTTCATTTAATTAAAAGCAAATTAGCAAAAAGCTGTGGTTGGATCTCTTTAAGTGACAACATTTATAAGGAACTCTTCCCTCTGACTTTGGAACATCCAAATTGTCGTTCTGCCCAGTTGCTAGGATGGACTGAATGAGAGGTTAGATTAACTTATTGATACAGACAAGTCCTTAAACCAAGGAGGCAAGCAAGAGCATTCCAGAAAGTCATAAGTGTTACTTCAAGATTAGTTTGAGCGATAGAGCATTTAGTCATTTACTCAAAGCCAGTTTTGTCTTTGCTACTTTGCGGTGTTCCAGAATACTTCTGATACAGGTGACATATTGCCTACTTGCACCGTTGGTTATACTGGTGGAGGATTAAAAATCTCTTACAAAGATGTTTCTTTTCATTTTCCTACATAAATGACACTTAATAAAATGATAAACTCCTGAACTATATGGCTGTTTCCAGATTATTTTTTTATAAATCAGATGTTTGCAAAAATGCTTTCTTTTATGATGTGTGAAAAATTGGGAGTTGCTGCTTCAGAAAGTCTTGTAGACATCGAAATAATCTTGTTCTGAAACTTTAGTTCACTATTTCTTTTTGAGCTATAGCTTTTCCTAAACATCTTTCCAGTTATCTAACATCATCACAATAAGCAGTGTATGTATTTTAATTTCCTATTTAATTTTTACTGTGTGTTTTGTGTACCTTCTCGCATTTGTTTGTGGGGAAGTATCACACAGTTTTGAGTGATGGGACAATACTAATATATGTAGCTTCAAAAATAAATAAAAGTAGTTTACTTGTCCTTTAGTTTTGCTGAGCAGAGCATCTTTTGACCCAGATGCAGTGAGAAGTGTATCGAGTTATGCATACAGATTTCAATGTTTAATAGGCTTAGAGTTTAGAAATGGAGAAAAATGTTTTGGCTCATCTTGTTTGCTTTCTGGAAAATACCTTCTGTTTCAGCTTGTCCTAGAAGTGGGAGGATTGTCTTCCCCTTGAAGCTCATATCACAATCTAGCATTTCTTTATTAACCTGCAACTCTGTGTTTGTTCAATGTCGTGTTACTCCTGGTAAGAGTCTTCAGTAACAGTCATCGATATATCTGCTTACTATTGACACATTTCTAAATACTTCTAAGATTTAATTAACTGTGAAGGTTTTTGGATTGTCTGCTACAATTTTAGGCTAAAATTCTGGGATCACCATTTTTTGTGTTACCTTTCATCAAAAAAAAAATCTCTTCAGCTTTACAGACATGGACACTAACTTCACGTAGGTGAGGTAGATAAGAAGTGCTTTCCACATTTTGCAGATGGGGAAATCTGAGCAATTAACTGACTTGTCTGAAGTCATACGGCAAGTCAGTGGCAGAGCCAAGAATGGAACCTGAACTATTTCCAGTCCTGTGCTCTAACCACTGCACAGCATCCCTCCCTTAGGTAATTTTCTGACATGATGATCTTTGTATTTGGTGTATATGGTGACTTTGAGAAGAGTATCGAACCAGCTACAAATAGCAATGGACTAAAATCAGTTACTGGTTAAAAATTTTATACAGCAACTCTTAAGTATGTAATAAAAGGATAAGATGTTTCAAAGGCATTATATTTGGGTTGCTGCCTTTTGCCTCGTGCTTCCAAAAATGTTAAAACTAATGAGGTTAAAAACTCCTGGAGAATGGGTTCTGCAATTGTCCGTTTTCAGTTTACTTTGTTCAAACTGTAAGAGATGCCACTGAAAAACCTTTGTCACTGTTCTCTCAGATAAAATGCTTCCAGTTGGGTAACTTAAAGGTAGAAGTTTGCAAAGTTCAAATTACTCTTTTAAATGCACCTGAATCATTAATGCCTAATGATAGCCTGAAGGTGCAGTGATTCCATTGACACAAACAGATGCCATGTGTATTCTAGGATGAAATTGGGTTTTACAAACATTGAGATGTTGCTGGCAGGAGAAACAGCAATTTTTAAAATCTGAATATGCAAGGATATAAATTGCCCAAACCCAATTAATTTTCAGTTACCTTTGTCACTAGCATTGGCAAGTTTTGAAACTTGGACAAGATTGAACACACTGGCTAGAATTAGAATGAGGCAGACCAGTGAGGAGTCTGAGAACAGATTACATTTCCGAGAAAATCTTGATAATCTAAAGTTCTATTGTACTGTTTCACTAGTCAAAACGCCTGAAACTCCATATGCAACCTTGGGATTTGGGAACAGAAAGCAGTATATAGTCATTTTCCTGTTAAGTGCATTTGTAAAATAATTCCAGTGGAGAGTAGTTTCAAACAAATATAGTTAAAAACTTTTTATCCTTTTTAGCTTCTTTCATATTGTTTTATCTGAGCTGTTTATTGGGATTGTACCAGCTGTGTCTGGTACATTTGCCAGCTATCAATTTGTACCTAAACTTCAGGAGCCAAACAAACGTATCGATGTGAGAATAATCAGTTTGGCCTATCTGTTCAGACTTTTTTCAATCACAAGGAGAACCAATAGAATCAGAAGAATGTGAAGCAGCAACAGAAAAAGCAAGCAGGAGCTGATTAAGGGATAATCTGCCCTGTTTTATTGCCAGATCTGTTTGTTCTACAGCTTCTAGAATAGCATTCGAAGCAGACAACAGTTTTAAGCAGTACCTGAAAGCAAGGACTCATTTTCAGGTGACTGGCTGATTGACATGTCCACAAGTGCATTAGGTGGCAATATTACTATCTAAACCATACATAAGACAACACAAAGTTTTGTGTTGCTGTTGCATATTGCAAATACTGTATTAGTTTATTCTGCTTATCCTTTATTCAGTGTTTGCTGTCATTTTGCTGACTGAATGATTTAGAAAAAGGCTTTTTAAGGTACTTTACTCATTCTTGTAATGTAGGCAAGCAATTTGGGAGAGAAATCGGGTCTTACTGAATAAGATACCTTGACCTTGCAGGAAATCAAAGCATGTATTAAGCCTGCAAAGAATAATGTAGTTATGGCTTTAAAATTTCATTTTCGTTAGGACTTGCATATGACTGAAATCTACATGTTACCAAGCTGTGTGGGATTTAGAGCTAACAATCAGGAGGTCAGATTCAGGGAGAGAAAATAACTTACACTTTAAAGCTGCTGCACACATCGTGGTAGTATTTACAAGAGTTGTGGATAAATCAGTAATCTAACCAGGTTTTTAACAAAAAAAACCAAAAAAAACAAAACCAAAAAGCACCCAACACTACAGACAAACAAAAAAAAAAAAAAAAGAAAAGCCAGAACTGAAGTGCTCAAGAAATCTCTCCTATAATTAATATTAAGACATTTCTGTGTGGTGGTTTTGCCTAGAAGAGTAACTTGTGGTTCTAGGCACTGTGATAAAACAAATAGAGCTAGATGCAATTCTTGCTGCTCTCACTAGTGAGTTCTTGAGTTTTCCATCAAGGACAGACAGCTAAACCACGGCTCCTTCTGTCAGCAAGTATTGTAGCTGCCTTTCCTCTCCTGTTTATCTGTTGGATCCTGGAGTACAGGACTATTTCAGCTTGGCAATTGTATCTATCCTCTGGAAACCTCGACACTCTCCTATGTGCCTCAGGAAGGCACTCACGTAGATCCATGTTTCCTTCATTCCCACTATGGTCTGACTTTTTTAATAAGGAACATTTTCTTTGTCACTACTCACTGGCTGTTGCCCCTCAAAGCAGAGCAGGTTTTTTGCTTGCTTGCAGCTAATGGCATATCCACAACAAGCTTGTTGCTCCTGATGCCCTAGGTAGTAAGGAAAGTGCTTTTGTCCTCAATGTATTCATAGCTCTTGAAAATTTCATGATGCCCAGAAAAAAAAAAACAACAACAAACTACAAAAACCCAAACAAACAAAAACCCGCCCCCATAAGCACAGTTTAACGAAGAAGGAAAATTACAACTCTGTTGTTTGTTTGTTTGGGTTTTAAAGCTGTCCTCAGGATGGTGTTGCATCAAATCCTCACTTAGCATCTGGGACTCTGTTATGGTGAGAGGCAGTCTCCATGCCAGAGAATTTGTTGCAAGTGTCAGGACCATGACTGAGTGAAGCAAAAAGTGATCCTCTTTAAAGAGGAATAACACGCTAATTTTCAGTATAAAACACACTATAGAAGAAGCACACTTTATAAGATCAAGCTGGTATTAAGTTAAAAAAAAAAAGTGTAGCTAGTATCTGTAGTATTTTTCTTGAGCAGAGAATGGATAATTCTGGACAATTTGAAAATTAAACAATTAGCTAGGTCATCCCAAGTTTAGAGACATCAGGAAAAACTAAACTTCCTGGACTCCTCTTAACTCTTGCTCTTCTATACCTAGGAAGCAGCATGTAACTAAATCCATCTCCCTTTTCTTCTTTTTCTTGCTCTCTGGAATTGAACAGATCCTTTTTCTGCTACTGTTGATAGTGTTGATGATGCCATTCCAAACCTAAATCCTTTCCTAACAAAAACTAATGATGCTGCTCATCTGTCTGTGTCTTCTGATGTATCTACTTTCACCAGTAGGACACCCACACATGAAATGTTTGTTGGTAAAGTACCATTTTCAACTCATTTCCTATTTCCTAAAAATTTTAACATTATTTCAGTTTCTAAAGTGTATTTGTGGGGCCTCTCAAAAACTAATAGCTGGTCATTTGGGGCTGATTTTGTGCTATGTTAGAACCGATTTAGTAATTGTGCCATGAAAATGGTGTTAAAATCCTTGCTTGGCTACGTAGGTGGGATTCTACCTGATGGAAAGGAATTTACTTACAGTTAAAGCAGTTGTTTGAGTGCAGTTTTACACAAAGTCTCTTATGTGTGGGAATTTTAAGGTAAAATACTACATATGCCTGAGAATGAAAATGAAATTATACTTTATTGTTCCTTAGGGTGAAGTGTTCTTTTCAAACATAGAAGCTTAATCTGATTTTTTGATCGTGGATGTTTTTCCCCCAGTCGTGTTGGCATTAACAAAACTGATAAAGCCATGCATGTTCTGGTGCATGATCTACTCAAACTGTTTACCTACTAGGCAATAAACTAATGAGTCACCTTTTTAAACCTGTTGAAATCTTCCTTTGGAGGTGATTCAGCATGGCTGTCATTAGAAATCCCTTTGACATTCCGGTCGATGCAGCTACGTCGTAATTTGATTATTTTTCAATATGAAGAATCAAGTTAGCTTTCATAGACTAAAAATCAATTAATTACATGTCAGCTCTGTTCTTATGCAAATCTAGTTTAAAGACAATTGCACTGCACTACTGGTTTCCTTTTTGCAGGTTGAACCCCACTAGAACTGATCACAGAATAATCCAGTCTCTTTTATAAGAAACCTTTGATATGTCTGATACTTGTTACCAGAGATAAAATGAAGGGATCTCTTTAGAGATATTAATACCTCCTGCACTTTGTCACCGTAGTTAACTAGTTTCTTAGCTTGTCTTTGATTAGTGGAAAGAAAAAAACCAAGCAAGATCAAGAGCAAGAGTTCTTGTACTTAACTTCTCTCTGTAATTCCCAGGGAGGATTAGTTGGCTGAGGCAGTAGTATACAAATACTTTAAGCTGGTACTACTGCATAATAATCTGGCCTGTGCTTCTAAACAGTCTTTCCCGTGCTTCCAATAAAATTTGTATGGTTCATGTGAATGCAGAATGTTGTGTTTGAAACACAACTTTTTGTAGTAAGATTATTATTCAATCAGATTGGTTTCCTCTGTATAATTTGTTCTGCAGTCATGAAAAAGTTGCGGCAGTGCAGGGCTATGAATAATGAGCCTGGTGGGTTTTTGTGGCACTGGCTGGTTTGTGCTAGTATTCATCACTCGACAACCCTGGAGTCGGTGGAGTAGGTGGCATTGATACATTGCATTCCTTTCTGACGTCTCCTTCTCTAAAGATATATCTAGAACCAAAGTGTGACCACCTGACAGATTGATACTTGAAATGTAAATGCAGTTTTAGCTGTAGCACAAACAAGGTGCTACGATAATGTGGATGTAAAATAACTCTTTCTGGTTCTTTAGATCATTACAATCCATTTACTGCACTAAATCCCTTTGTGGCAACCAAATATGAATCCACTGTTGGGCTGTATCCTTATACTTCAGGTATAAGAAAAATGCCTTCAAGCTTTTACACTCATTTCTTTTAAGGGTGTAAAACATGGCATTTGCTTGAAATAGTAAGAGTATTTATCTTAATATAGTTGTAACTTTGAACCCGTGCTTTTCCCCTTTTGTGTTATAGATCATGTAAACTTGTTTCTTACTGTATGTCTGATGTGTATTGATTTCATTCCATTGGTTCTATGTTGTTAGAGTATACATGGATTTATAGACTGACCTGAAATTAAATTTTTGAATAGCAGATAAACAGTATATCTTGGTTCTCTTTCTGTAACTCTTCCTCTTCTCCTTTCCTGGTTTTCTCTCTTGTGTAATATACCTTATCAGATTCTTTTTGTGGTCCTCAAGCTTACCTTAATGCTTCTCATTTCCGCAATGAGCCTTCTTCTGTAGCTGGTCTATTTGGAGGTAGGTAATGGGATACAGCCTTACCACAAACACGGAACTTGAATGTGTTGTGTGCCTAGAACTAGTAGGTATGATATTGGCTACAGAAGTGCATTATTATAGTGGCTCCAACTTTTATTCATGTGCTTGTGCTAGGTGTGTTGTCACAAATGGTACATATTTTTCAGTTTGTGCTAAACTAAGGCTTGTTTAGTCTAAACATGAAATGAGTATCTCCCCATTTCAGGATCTCTTCTAGTTCACATGTTGCTACATAGCACACACAAGACTTGCATGTTCTAAGTATCTTCTCATCTTACTCTACCTCATTGCTTTTAAGATAAAGGGATTGGGATGTTCTTGCTGCTTATGGCATTTTTGTCGATATGTTACTCTTAAACAGTGCACTAAACTAGTACAAAGCTTTGCAACAGAACGTGAGAAAGAGGTATCAGCTGCATTAAGCTACTGTCTAATCATATGTGCAGCTGTGTAACATCTGTATAGTAACCCAGTACTGATGCTGGCTCCAGAATACCATCCTGACAGTTGCTGGACAGGCTGTGGACTGTGACAGATGATAATTTATCTAAACCAGATTGAGCAGGGAGTGTTAACATTCTTGCTGCGCAAGGTTTAGGGATACATTCAATAAATAGTTTGTGGAAGAGTTAGTTCTTAAAAGCACCATAAAGTCACATTTTGGTTTAGTGTCTTTGAACAGAAATTAGCTGGAGTCATTTAATGCAAGGTTAAACGCTACGTATGACTCTTTCCATTTGCTCCATATCCAAAAAGCAGGATGATTAGTTTCTGTCAAGTCTTGTTGGTTTATTCTCTCAAAGGAACCCCATTAAAAATACCGACCGTTGCACCTTTCAAAACATCCATATTAGACAAAATGCCCTGGGCTGGTGGTTGATACTAGGAGTAGGATTTGATCTTTTTCAGAGGCTGACTCAAAGGAGTCCTATGTATTGTTTTGTCTTCTGCCTTATCTCATCTTGTTAGCTTCATAAAGCCTGAAACTTCCTTAGAATATGAGTGCAGGAAACTCAGCTTGTTTCAGTTAAGGCCATTTTCTAAAGAAAAATATGAGCTATTGTAAGTCAAGTGTTCTATTAGTACGGGCACCGTTTTAAGAGTTGCAGGACATCCCATCAAAGGAATTCCAATCTGCAGTTCAGAGTCTCTGAAATGGCTTGTTACAACTTGATGGTATACTTGTCATAAAGATACTCATTTTGTTTTGTTGATTATTTACTCCTTATCTTTTCACACATTACTGCTTCCCATGTTTTGCTGTATGCTGTTTTCTTTGGTTTATTTTTAATCAAAAGTGCATTGTTTAAATTCTTAGTGATGGATGCTTTTGAGTTATGAGTTATATGTTCCTTTTAAGACAAATAGGAAGGAACAAGTAATCCAAATTTGGTTTTTCTGTGGAGTTTATTTTCAAGGATAGCATCCTATAGCTATTAATTTTTTAGGTGAAATATGACTGACTTCAAGAAAACAGTAAGATTGAAATGAGGTGCTAAATGAAATCCAAGAAGTATTCTTCATCAGTTATTTCTGCTCATTGCAATGTTTTACTGCTGAAGTATTTCAGATCCTTTTCTTTTGTTTCTCCGTATCATCAAAATTTCTCTTAGAAACCAGAAGAGCTAGTTTTCAAGATGGCATTGCATTTTTTGGTGCTTTTCATATGAAGTGATAATTACTTCTGTAATTGCCTGAATATCAACATGTGCATGCACGCTTGTGTGTGTGATGATATGTAAAATACAATTTTAGAAACAAATCAGTATTCGCTTCCATATTACTGAACTATCAATACTGCCGAACATCATATGCAATGCTTTGTACTGCAATAAATTTTCACAGTACTGAAAAAAATTGTGCGTTTGGAGACACTGCTTTACAGATACATAGGAGACAAATGAAGTAAGTTCAGACAGGAATAGGAGTTGAAACTTGGCTTTAACTGCCTGTATCTTGCCATAATTACTAGAAATTTATCTGCAAAACATGGTCACCTCCAAAATGTGTGTTCACAAATAACTAAGCAAGCACTATAAAAATTATTGGTATTAAAAGTCTAATCAAAGGCGTTACCGGTCAGGCACCTTGGGATAGTTTGGTTCTTACTCTAGTTGTATCTAAGAGAACTGCTCAACTAATATAAAACATGGAGGGAATAATCTTCAGGCAGGCAATCTGGCAACAGATTCTGTACCCAACCAGCTTCTTTTCCTGGAGAAGCCTGGGGATTATTTCTTCAATAATTATATTGTAAGTATTTGGTAAAAGAATAAGGAAGATGTGAATGGTTAGTCCAGAGATTTAGCAGCTGGAGGCAGGAGTGTCTTTTATGGCCTGTCTGTCCAGTTTTTGAGATGAAACCTTTCTTTGGAGGAGTAACTCCAAATAAATTTCAAATAAACTGCCTCCAGCTGTTTCTCTTACATGTTTTTCCAGTGTCAGGGTGTAATCTGGACCTTTGAGGTATTCCTAGTCTTTCTGCAAGTACTTAAATAATCTACGTATTTATTTGGCTTGTCTTGCATAAAGAAGGTGGATTCATGGGAAATGCTGTATGGAAACATTCAACTTCTTTCTTTTTCCCCACAGGGTTCACTCCATCTCCTGTTGCTCAACCACAGCCATCAGCTGGCCTTAATGTTGACTTTGAGTCTGTGTTTGGAAACAAATCTTCTAATGTTGTCCTAGATTCTGGTGGTAAGACACTTACTAAAATAGATGACATATGTCCTTTGAACTTCTTGAAGTATAAATTTCTTAATCTGTATTTACTTGTACTGCTGTGACAGTGTTCCAGCTGAAGAAAAGAAAGCTGACTTTAAAAGGTCAATACCGGCGTTCGTAATCCAGATTTTCTTTATTAATCAAATAATTTTTCCTTACATACTATTTCTTTGTGCATCCTGCTGAGATTTCCTTCACTTTAAATATTTTGTGCATTAAATCTTCACACAGTGAACAGCCTTTACTTTTACATGCTGTCAACTGAGATTAAATCTGTATTTGTAGAGTATGGTCAGAAGAGATAAATTGCATCTTAATTTTATATATCTCTGCAACTCATTTTTGGCACTACTTTGTCTACATGTTACTCTTTTGATGTTAAGGTTATTTCAAAAAATGATAAATTATCAAAACGTACACAGTTAATTTGGATTGTAATCATAGTTATTACTCTTCCTGTTCTTTTCAGCATCTGGAAAGTTAAATACTTTCTGTTCTTTTGATATTGGACTCCTGACATCAGATTCTTTTTGGGCAAAGCAGTGATCCACTAAAAGCAAATACATAAGTGTTTTTATAAGATTGAAATACTTCAGATATTTATTCTTTATTTTGGTTTACATTTTCATTGCTTTGCTGTCATTGGAAATCTGTTCCATGTAAAATGGATGCCACGTAGGTTAAACTAGTAAAGTGAAACCTCCTTTGTGTGGTAACTATGTCCTTTATTAAGAGGCATGATAAGTTTTATCCTTCTTGTATAGTGTAGCATCACTAGGTTAAATTTTGTATTTTAACCATTGTGTTGAACTTGCTGTTTGTTTAATTGAATGTCACAACATCCATGGGAGGCCTGTGATTCAAATCACTTCTTTTGTGTTTATCATTCCAAGGCTTTGATGAACTAGGTGGTCTCCTGAAACCAACAGTGGCCTCTCAAAACCAGAGTCTTCCAGTTGCCAAAGTACCACCTAACAAATTAGTATCAGATGATTTGGATTCATCTTTAGCCAACCTTGTAGGCAGTAAGTATTGAACCACTAACATGTAAACACTTAATTCTTTTAAATGACTAGAATGTCAATAATACCTTTTTTTACTCTTTGACAGATTTGGGCATTGGAAATGGAACTACTAAAAAGTAAGTATGCTTAATCAAACGTTGAGCATTTTGATTTTCTTGATAGTGAATTTTTATGAAAGTAGAGGTTCTAACCTGTGCGTACCAACACAATGTTAACCTTCAGAGTGCGTTTGGATTGTACTTCGTTTCTCATACAAGGTTGTTGAGATCTGTTGGAAGGTGGTTGTAGACTGAGTGGTAGTGACAGTGATAACAGCAGGCAAGATGTCCTCCTGTCTCTGATTCCTTTTAAGCTTTGTATATTTTTAGGAAATGAGTTCATCAAAATGTTTCTTTGTAGGTGATCTTAGCACAGTTCATAAATACTTTGTGTGATCTGAGTGTGTGCAGGGCTGTATTAAAAATTGTGAAACTACAACCTCTGACTTGTGGTTGACCTTTAGAGAAGTGAATTTTAAAGCAGGGCGTATTCTAGAATAGCGACAAAGCTGAGAATGCGATTAGCAAATTTCAGGCTTACCGGGACAATCTGTGCCAACTCTGAAATAATTCAGAAATCTAGTATGCAGTTATTCTAACTAAACTATCTTGACCCAAGGAAAGTCAGCTAGACTAACTTACCTATACTGGGGAACTTGACTGAGATTAGATAAAGTGAGGTGGCTCGTGTTGAACATCTTACCTTACTTTCCTTAGCCAAAACAAGCTGTCAGACACCTTTTATCAACTCCTTTGCTAAATGAGCTTCTTCACTGAAAAAAGAAGCCACATTTCCAAGAGGAAACATTGTTTACCTTAGGGAGTTTTGTAAAAAAACAAAAAAACAACCAACCACAAAAAACCAAACAAAAACCCCAATGTTTTCTAACAACTCTTAAAAAAATTTATTTGAAGTGATGTAAACTGGACTCAGCCAGGTGAAAAGAAGCTGACAGGTGGTTCCAACTGGCAACCCAAGATTGCACCTACAACTGCATGGAATGCGCCGACGTTGGTAAGCAAACACTCATTTTAAAATAGTGAGTTCCCTGAAACATAAGATACGCAGGCTGATGTATAATGGGGAAATTTGAAAGTGATCTACAGTTGCAGTAAAAGGGTAGGAGAGAACTGAAGAAGTGGTTAGGTTGAGATGTGTACTGCTTGTATTTGTTTTCCTTAGCTGTGTGGCTCTAGTAAATAGTTTGTGATGTGACCCATGCAGGTTTAGCGTAAACCAGGTCAGTAGTGTTTGACCAGCCTCTCTCATGGCAAGTCACATCACGTATGTGTACATTTCAACTCAGCCTGCTCAGGGGGCAAGAACGGGCCGAGAGATTAATCCTCTCGATACTCGCAGAGGTATCTGTGCAGTGATGTGGGCTATAGGTTTCTTAATGTATGTAACTACTGCTTTCCTGCCCTGATGTGTGCAATTGTTTTTAATGCGTGTCAGTTTTGGTGATCAACTTCAGTGTCTGCTGTAGCAGGTAGTATTGGCAAGGATTTTGGGGCAGCGTGTAGAGCGAGGGCCCTCAATTACAGGTCAAAAAAAAAAAGTTAAGACTTTACATGAGTAGCTTTCACCATGCTAACAGAACACTTTTGCATGTGAATCCTACTCACGCTTTTACCAATGACCTGGAGAATTGTACATGGACAGATCAGGTAACAAACTGCCCCCCGAGGATTTATTGCATCTGACGTTGTAACTGACGGGAGGAGGTTGAATCTACAGAGTAACAATACAATGTTGTGGATTTGGAAAGAGAGAGCTTGTCTCCCTGGATCCACCACCTCTTCCCTGCTGCATGTCCCTTAGAAACTCGTTACATTTATGTAGGGAGAAATGTTTCTGGACCTTTCTGGAGGGTGTGTAGATATTGAAGAAACTGTAACTACTCACCTGCTTTAATACTGGTGGTTTGAGTTTACTTGTGTGCTTGAATCTGTTTAATAACTCATGTCTTGTATATACGTCTTCTTGTGATAAGTCATTACATTTAACAGCTTTTATTACTTAGAGAAACTGTTGAGACACTTCTCCTCCTGTGAAACTGTTCTATTAACATGAAAACCTTGAAACGGAAATAATCAGGGGTGGGGGTGGGAGTTTGTTTTCCTCTGCTGGTCTATTTATTGTTGCTGCTGCTTGCTAAATAAATATGCCTTTGAAAGTAAGGCTTTCTTGTCTTTGGAAAAAAAGGCATATACCAAATAAATGGACTATGCAAAACAATTACAAACCTCACAATGATGACAGTATCGCAGGTGTATGTTGTCTCAGTAAATGACTTGAATTACAAGAATGTGTTGGGGGAAACATTTAATGTATTTGTGAACTAAAATGCTATCTGTGTATATTCTGTTGTGTAAGTATTTGCTTCTAATCCAGTGTTATTGCATTATGTAATTGTTCTCCCTGGGAAATACAGAATGGCATGCATTTTCCACAATACGTAAGTGAAACAACCCACAGCCTTTTTGCAATCGACTGGCATGCTGATATTAACCACTGCTGTTGCAGAATCTCATAACCTTCTTGCTATTTACACATTTCTCATTTTAAAATCTTTGGTGTGCCAAAAATTGAGCTTTTCCTAGCATATATGAACTTCATAGGTGGTCTGCAGGCTCTTGACTCGAATGATGGCATGGGAAATACCAAGATTATTTTTCCTTGCTTTAAACTGTACCATTTGCTGCCAGAGAGCTGGGGTGTGTGTCTGTGCTGCCTTTAATGCACTTGGTGAATTTTGAATGAAGATAAAAATGTTTGTGTTTGAATAACTGCATGAAACCTCACGGGCTTCTGTGATACTTGGCACTTTATCCACGTTTACAGTAGATCTTGATTTTTTTTTTTAAACTTTTTTTTTTTAGTGGGTAGAGACCAATATGTCATTAATACTCATATGAAAAAAGAAAATCCATGCTGACAGTTTACAAAGGGCAAGCAGTAACCTGCGCTTGCTGTCTGAGGAATGCAGTCTTTCATTTCAAAGGATTTTTTCCTTTATGTCAACAGCGATATTGGTCTTTCCCTGGATTCTGTTTTTATTGCAGGATAACTCTAACTAAAGGATGATAGGTCCATACTTGAGCACTCAAAAATATAGTCAGCATGTTTGTGTGTGTGTAGGTGTGGATACACAAGCAAAACAAAAAAAAAGTGATTTTCAGGATAGTTTTGCCAGTTTTGTAGACAGTACACAGTCTAGATAATGCTTGACCAGGGAAATCTCATCTGATGGCAATTGAAATGCCACTGCCACTGGCTACTACCTATGAAAAGGCAGCTGATACCTTAGAACTGAATTCAGAAGCAGCTTTGCAGCTGTCCTATTCTTGATGTTACAGTTTATCTCCTTTAATTAATCCAGTATTAATATTTTGTCACTTCCCTCTTTTTCTGTATCAATTATCTCTGTGTACCAAGAAATGTGTATGGTCTTTGTCTTGTCGTGAATAGTAATCCCCACAGCAACAGCATGAAAATTAGACTTTTTTCTTAAAGGAGAGACTAATAGGAGGCGGAGTGAATAGACAGCAAGTTATCTAAATATTTATAAGCACCAATTTATAGTCTGAAAAAAAAAATCCCTTTTTATATCCTTGTAAGAGTTAATACTAAATTAGAAAGTACATAATGAAAATGTAGAACAAAGAATACAGTAGGGGTATGAAGAACTGTCTTTAATATACTCTTCTTTCTAAGAGTTATCAGCTGTTTTTCTATGTATGTGTTGCCAAGTTTTTTACAAAACGTAGCTTCACCCCAGGTTTTGTCTGTTGACAGCAATCTTACTGGAACTTCATAAAAGTTAACTTAGGTTAAGGGTAATATAAATGTATCTGAAAAGTACTAAGAGGACTTTTAGCCTGTTCAAATTCACTGTACTGAGTGGATGAGTGAGAGGGAATGCAAGTTGGATACTCATGTCAGAGTTGAATTTGGATTGAAGCATGGTAGGAGAATCCCCATAGTGTGTACATCCTGGCTAAAGAGAAGAGAATTCCGGTAATATCAGCAGAAGCAATGGTAATTTGGTCTTTCAGTCATTAAAATTCTCTCTTAAGAATCCTTGTGTACCATTACTTCTGATTTTGAAATACAAGTATATTCTTCACAGGATTAAAAAAAAAGCTTCTCCTTCCTGAATGTTCTCTCTCACTTCTCTGTGTCTCATACTCTCTTCTTTAAACAGGATGCTGAGAGAATGATATTTGCAGTTTAGTTTAGTCAGCCAGAATCCTAACAGGTTAAAAGCAAATATGTAATTACAGATTTGCCAAGATCGCCTAGAACCTTCAGCCTAGGTATTGTATTCCATCTGAAATAATTTGGATACGCTCTTAACACAAGACTGCAAGTCCTATTTATTCTTCACTATATTCATAACAAGCAAAATGCCGCAGTTGACCCTTAGAAGGCAATGTCTTACCAGTGTGCAGCTGATCTCTTCTCCTCTCAGTTCACTCCTGTTTTTCGCACCAGGCACCACCTGTAATGGCGTATCCTGCCACGACGCCAACGGGAATGATGGGCTACGGGATGGTGAGTGGAACTCCTGCAACTCGGAAGTCAGATGCCGTATACCGTTTGATTGCTTATAGTTTGGTAGCAGTTGTTTTCTGACCTATTTTACTGAAGACTCAATTTCAGCTTCTATTGGGTTATTTTTCACCAGATCATTAAGTCCTGGTTTTCTGAACTACTTCACTAGTTTTTGTCTGGAATTAAGTCTGCCCTTTCTTACCTGACTTAGTTTTTCATAAACTTTAAAATTAAGACTGTTAATTCTTAGTGGGCTTTATTGGTGTAGAAATAAGTGTCATGCAAGTAGATTCACCACAGGAATGTTTTATTGGTGGAGAGAAACCTTCCTTTAAATATTTGTTCCTAGCCTCAGCAAAAGGTATCTGTAATGGTCGATGCCATGTGTTGCAGTGTTGGTTGAGAATTGATTCTCTTAGTGACACACCAGTACGGGAAGGCTTTTGACATAAACTTGACCTGCTGCTCGTTGCTCCGAAAAGTTGTTGAAATTTTTGTTTCTATCTCAAGTTTTATAATATTTCCAAAATGATATGGCTTAACTCTTCTTTATTAGTATGGTTTTGATGTAGCACAGCTTTACTGGGTGAATAAAAGGAGAGAGAACAATTATTCTGTTAAATGGCTCATGGATTAGTGTAACAAAAATAAGCTAAATGTATCCTCATATGATCAAATAAGAGTAATGATTTATAATTTGTATATGCTCAATAAGTGAATTGCAGATAGACCAACTGTGTTCCTGAGGGTCTTTCGAGAGAGTATCATGTTTCCCATTACCTATCCATGAACTCCTGTAGTATGTTCTGTGCAAAGTCATTGTGGTTAAACTACCTTTAGTAAAGCTGTAGTAGGTACTATAGATACTGGGACTCACAATTTCGTGAGTACCTCAGCATTCCTTGGCTGCTTCATTGCACCAGCAGTTATTTTTAACTTTTTTGTAGAGTGCTTTCATCAGGGTCGGTTTCTTGAACGGGTTTGCTGTGCGATTGCCCAACCAGCTGGTTGCTATGATAGGAGTACCACCAGGATTAGTCAGGGAAAAGCTGCTTGGAATGGAGATTGCTTCAGCACAACTGCTGCTGGGTGTCAACCCAAGCCTGAGGGGAGCGCCAAAAACAGCGCCAGAGATGGGCGTCTACGTAAAATAAATAAAACCTGACTTTTAAGACCATCAATATATGTTAAACTCTTAACTTGGCTTAGCCAGAGTGTTAGTAATGTTCTAGACTTTGATTGCATGATGACTTAACATTAACTGTACGTATAGTTTTCAGTTTTTCTCGAACTGTCAGGTCTGCGTTGATATCTGTAAAACTGTTCTCGTGCTTTTGAGGGCAGACAGGGAAATACTGTCAGACTTCAGTTTTGGGTGCTGGAGGACCAGCACAAATGCTTGTGCTTAAACAAGTATTTTAGTGTTTCTGATCTCTGCAGCAAGAGATTAAATGGGCTCAGTTGTTATCTAGAATATTCCTCGAAAAGGCTTTAATGTTCCTCTCTCATAACCTTTATTTGAGAAAACTGTGGAAAGAACTTACTTGATTGCATATATCAAATGTGACCAAAATTTACTAATTTAATTTATTTAAATATATGCAATGAAGTAATGCCGTGTGTGATTTGATGTTGTCTGGATTTTTTTCAGCCATCGCAGATGGGAGGCATACCAGTAATGACACAGCCAACTTTAATATACAGTCAGCCAGTCATGAGGCCACCAAACCCTTTTGGCCCTGTACCGGGAGCACAGGTGGGTACATTCAGAATAATTGGTGCTAGGAACAAATTACAGCTGGCTTGGTTTCTGTAAAAGTATTTTAATATTTCCTTGTGTTGGACAAATGTATTACACAAGCCCAGTAGTTCATGTGAGGATTGCTTCTTCCTAGCTTCTTATATCCAGGCTGGCAGCATCAGGTTTGTTTTACAGAAGCAGAGGAGAGCATTTTAAGGCATTGATTTTCTGGGAATATGACTAGGTTATCCTCAACGCTTCAGGGAAAGGATGGGAATAGTTAATATCTGTGCTGTTTGCTGAAGACAGGATTCTTCCCCAAAGTTCATGTTCTCTGCTGCTTTACCTTCAAGCATGGCTGCGTGAGATTGCGCTGTTACGGCTTTTCCCTGAGTACACGTGGCACTGTACTATGACCTGTTACACTTAAAAGTGTTAGATTATAAAGTAACCCAGCCTGGCAGGAGCTGTAAACTCTTCTAAGTGCAAAGCCTGTGCTTAGATGACAGCAAGTAGCAGGGGACAAACAGGGTGTTTAAGCCTTTAAGTCTGTGACCGTCATGGATGAGTTTGAAAAGAACTTGGTATCAAGCTTGGTGAAACTTCAACCCAACACCTGGTTGTTAGTGCTGACCACTCTGCGGGAGGCACACGGCACATTCACCTAGTTCTAACTGTCGTGGTCTCCAAAGGTCTTTGCATTCCTCCAAGTTTTTGCGGCAGATGATATTTACAGCATAGTGAAGATACTCCGTAGCTATAGAAATCTCGCTGGCCTTTCCCTGTTAAGGAAGGTGTTATGTTAAATGGAGCGTTCCTTAAATCACCTGCTTTTCTGCTTCTCGTGCTATGTCGTGTATAGATTCGTTACCTAATGTACCAGAATAAAAGAGTGCGCTGAAGGGTTACTCTGAACATTGAGAAGAACTACCTTTGTCAATACTGGAGTTAAATATGTGCCTTTTATTGTTTGTTTTGAAAACCTCTGTCACTGGGAAATTTCTATCTAAACTCACTCTTTTAACCCAGTAGCCATCTGAAGAGAGTTTTTTGCAGTACGAAAAACATTTAAAAAAAAAAAAAGGGAGGAGAGGGGATGGACAACCTTGAACACCTCCATACGATTTTCAGAAAATACTGAGATCATTAAGACTTTGAGTTTGCAAACTGTATGTAGAGGCAGAGCCAAGTTCAGCTGGCAGATTGGGACTCCAGTGTTAACTGTGTGGTTTAACTTAGTAGTCAAATGTTTCTTTGTCAAAGTTTACACTGTACATTGTGACTTTACTAGAAAAATATCATATATTAGGACTGTATTTTGAACTTACTGTAAAGAGTATAAACAGTCTTTATAGGTGACTGTTTAAAAACGCAGATGTATACATTCATTTAAGTATGTGTTGGTGTAAGTGTGTTTTTGGGACTGGAGTGTGGAGGGAAAAGAATTCGGCAGTAGCTTGGAAAGGAAAAGAGCTTCAAACCTTTCTCCAGTGCCTGAATCTGATGCTTTAACAGGAAAGGCTGTGTTGTGTGCTGCTAGCAAGTGGTATGTCCACTCTCTTTGCTAAAATAGATATTATTTTTTTTAAAGACTTTATCTGAAAAGGACGCTGTTAGATTTCTTTAGCTAGAAATGCAGTTTTCAGTTTACTTTCTCCTGGACTTCTGAGCGCTGCTTTGGACATTCACTGTCATTTAAGACAAGTGATTCGGTGTCTTTCACATGGGTTTGATGCTATTTCAAGGGGAAAAATGTGTTTATGACACTACTTAAATACAGAACAAGTTAAAGGATCCTTAGGAGGAGTTTTTTTCTGCAATTCCCAAAATATCTATTTTGAATTTTCCTTTTTAAAAAATAGTAAATCCACCTGCCTGCCTAATTCAGTTATAAACAGCTGTAGGTAGGTCTGAATAGCTAGGTGAGACTTTCTGCTCCATTTGACATTGCAGGGCTTGGTCTCGGTAGAATCCCAGCTGCTGTCATAACAGGAGAAAGAGGAAATAGTCACAAGTGAGGTGTGGAGAGCTCTGTTTGTTGTGCTTATCTCATAAGAAGTTTGGCTCCTGTGAGACTTAATTTGATAGAGAAAACACTCTTTGAGTCAGCATTTGCTGTGTGACCAGGAAGGGTTTTCCCTGACACACGCAGTCTGCGTTGCTTGCAGGTGTTGAGTTTTTAGGGCTCTGACATCAATAAAGCAACTTAAATGAAACAAAGGCTGCATGCAGAGCTTCTTCCCTGTGTGCAGTGGAGATGGCATTTAACTTACAGCCACGGAGGGGAATTACAGTATTACTACACTAAATTTACCGTATGCCTGAGAGCATAGTTGTCTGTTTAGGTTTAGTTCATACTCCTGTTGTGCCAGAAATGGAAATAAAGAAATAAAAATGTGTGTTCTTGGGGTAAGTAAACAAATCTTAAAGAATGAGTAACGATTGTCTGAAAGGTACCCAATTCAAAGTGCCTACATCCCACGTGGATCACTCAATACTACTATTCTAACACAACTTTTGTCCATGATGTCATCACTGCCAAACAGTAAACTGTTCTTAATATTTATGTTTAAAGTATCAGGTTATATCAATTACCTCAAGTCTCCTGATAGAGTTTGGTGGCTGTCTACAGCAAAGAAACTGGAAGGTACTTAAAAGCATAATGACAGATAAGGAGGTGTTGCCAAAAAATTATATTGTGGAGTTGTAGCATGTTGGGAACTCCTACTTTGTATAGGGACTGGCACAGTAGGCATCCCAATGTTGTCCAGTTTCTTTGTAATTTAAACTGGTGTTTCCTAACTTGATACTCTTAAGGATTTGTCTTTATAAATATACTTTCCCTACCTCTAGACATACCTGTTTTGCTTCTTTCAAGTGTTCTGTTTACATGCATGCAACTTTATTTCTAATTGTTGCTATCAAAAGCAAGGGTAGTTTGGGGTTTTTTTAATGGCAAAGTAATTTGCAACAATTGAGGGTGAAACTAGAGCAGATGCTTCTTTGAAAATCTAGGTGCAGAAATTTTTCATAGTTTTAAAAGAAACTAGTGTGTACCTTTTTTTCTTTGAAATCACTTATCTTGCATTAGGGTCAGTATTTCCTGCTTGAGAAAGGAAAAGAATAGTTTTCATCATGATAAAATAGCAGGCTTTCCTCACTGCAAAACAGTATGTACCGTAACAGTGAGAATGGTCGGAGTTGTGCGATTACATTTTAGCTGTCAGGAAGGAGAGTGTGTGTGTGTGCGTGTGAGGAAGGGATGGGCTGAATCAATGGTCCAGATGAGGTTAAAGAGTAGCCAGAGCGATGCAATACAGCAACCGCAAAACACTTCAGACAAGTCAGATCTGAATGCTGTACAGTAACTACCCATTGTAAGACCTGAGTGTCGTCATGCGCAACAGCAGTGCTTGAATGTTCACCGCCACCAAAACCATTCTCTTTTTTGGCTAATACAAAATGGTACAATACTGACAAATCCATGGTGTGCCTTTGTGTTACATATTGTGGTCTGATTGCCCCCAAAAGGACGTAGCTGTAGGAGGGGAAGCAGCTCGGTAGTGAAAATTTGAAGATTTAAAATAGAATAAAGAAATTACTCTGCCTATTGCTGGCATTGTACCACTGCAGTTGTTAACGGCACTGAACTGTACAGAAAAAGTAGTAGGAGCGATGGCCTGGTGATGATGAAGAATAAGTAAATGTGCAAAGAAGTATGTTGGTTCGGAGGGGCGGAGGGGGTGGTTTGGTTTTGGGCTTTGTTTGGGGTTTTTTATTTGAAACTGTGGAAGAACAGGCTATGAAGTTCAGGACAGCTTTATGCCAGAAGGTAGATTATACAGGTGCTCCTTTTGGCACATTAATCCTAAAATATATGCTAAACCAGCTTGACAGACTTGTTTAATGAGAAACCAGTATCTAGGTAACGATGGGAATCGGCACAGCACTCACTTGTGGGTGAGTCCTGTCTTACCGTGACGCTGGGGAGGTTTTGTCTCTGGAAACAGCGAGAAGTGATGACTGCCAGTGGGGTGAGGCTAAGCTTTGGGCCTGATCCAGCACGGTACGTTGCATTTCAGATCACACGAGTGCTGGGCAGTCAGGAGGCTAAATCCATGGTTCTGTATGTATTAGCACAAGAAAAACTGATGGCCGCTGCTGCTGTTTTAAATGCTGCTTAGAAACTGCTACGGTAGGCTCTGGTTTTCAGATATAAGCGGTATTCTGGATAGATGCTGTGTAGGAAACTGTCTAACCATATTTTCCACATTTTTTTACAGGCCTCCTTTTTAATATATTAGAGGAATCTTGTTAAAATAGCTATCTTACTGTCAGATACTGTGTCTTGTCTGAATTTGGCTGTGGTATCTAGGAAGTAGCATTGTCAAGTTTTGGGTTTTTTTTTCCCCTGGTATTTAACCTGAACAGGCTTCCTGAAATTTTACCTCTGTTTCTGGTTTTGTGCTGATGATGCACAAATGACAGAGCTCTAAACCTACCGGTCTTCCACACTGCTTTCAAACTGGGACGTTGCTTTGGACTTGATACCAATTGGAGATTCACCAGCTCAATTGAATGGGACTTTAAATATGTGACTTCGAGCCATTTGACCATGGAGAGGGGGAATGTCTCATGAAACCATGTTGGAGCAGGCGTGCCTTGCTGCAGTCAGGCCTCTGTTGGACTTTATTTTTAGTCTGGCTCAAATCCTGGAGAGTGGTGGGATGTGTGAGCTGTGGCTTTCCAAAGGGAAGAACTGAGTTTAAAAGGGGAATTCTGACATCCTGAAACTGCTTCTCAAGCACTTCCCATTCCGTCTCATGACTCTTCCATGATCTGTTTATGGGGACTGGATCTGAGTGCCATACTGGGAGTGGGGTTTCGGGGGAGAAAGATTCTAACCCAGTATTGATCCTAAAAGAATTCTTCCTCCCCACCTGGTTTCAGCGATAAACATTAATGTGAAAAACTTAAGTTTGCTATGGCAATATTTACATTCTGGGCACTTGTGCAAGCAGTTCCCATAAGCACGTTCCCTGTCATGCGTAGGTGTGCAGGCATTCAGTGTTTCCAAAGGAAATACATCTTCTTACGATGTGTTTTTTTTGCAATGGGCATGAAGTGCAAGTATGCACTGGTGATTAGTGACTCAATTAGGAGTAAATTGGTACAGTGATGGAATCTGAAGTGGAGAACGTTGACTGTTTTATTTGTAACTGCAAAACCATGCAAGCTCTATGAGGGAGGAGGGCAAACAGAGTTGAATAAAGCACCATTTAGAACTGGGAAAGCACCAACAAAGAAGGAAAAGGACTAAAAAATAAATAAATTGACAAATAGCAGATAGTCCTGCAATTACAGCCAGCAGATTATTGGTCTCTTCCAGCAGCAGCAGCAGCTGGAATGCCAGCATTACCTACTTGTAAATGATATGCTTTATATAGCTGAATTTGTAGTGTGGTGCTTTAAATACGTGGCTATAAGATGATTTTTGTTAGTATAGATAGTATAGACTATCCGTCTTGGCCTTCAGTTCTCACCTAAAATGGCAGCAACTGATAAACTCTCATATTTTTTTTTTTTTTCCCCCTAGCTCCAGAATATGTCCCATGTTCTCCTTCTAGGCCCCAAATTGACAATTACTCATTGTCTGCTCTCCAGCTTCTTTTTATACACATCCTGTTTTGAGAGGGAAAAGATGCTGAGAGCTATTTCTTCTGGAGAAGGCATCTGGAGAGCTGCCACGCTTGGCCAGACCCCCAGCCTTGTCTCTCCCTGCCAGTACATAGTTTTGCCAATAAAGCAGGGAGAGCGCTAACCTGCTCACAGGAGTGTCAGGCTTCGTGGTTTGTATCTCCGGAAGAACGCCGCTGTGACAGTGTGAGGTTGTTGTCTGCTTATTCGGCAAATGCCAGCTACAGTTCCCTTTCTGGAGGGTCGTGTCCAGCTTGTTTCTGCATTACACCAACCATTGAAGAGGCTTTCTGTTTTCCATGCGACCAAACACCTTGCTCTAATAGTTGATTTCTGCCAAGTTTGCCTCTTAACCTCCCCTTGTCCTTTCATTACACGTTCAGCTTTCATATTCTGTCATTCTGAGATCTTTTTTCTTTTTCTTTCCCTTTCTCTGTCGTCTTTCCTACTAGCTGTCTGCAGCATCCAGCCCTTCCAGTCAGAGTCCTCACAGAGCCTCAGGAAAGGATCCCTTTGCAGAGCTCTCTCTCCAGGATTTCTTGTAGAACAACTTAGGTATTGTCCATTATTCTGGGGAGATGCTGGTTTTTTGTGATATAGAACAAAATTAAAGTTCTAATTCAAGTTTTATTAACGTGACTAGAAGTGTTTCTGAAGAAAATAGAAACAAGTCATGTTGAGTTGGAAGCATTGTGGAAGTGATGTGGAAACTTGGTATACTTAACTGCAGCAGTTTAAAGGCCCGATGAAGTCATTTTGCTTCAGTCCATTGGAAATAAAGTTTGATAGTTCCTTGCAGAACTGCAGGAGCCAGCACACGTGGTACTTTGCTGCAGCCGGGGAGAAGGAACCGGTGCTACCCAGTATTTACCGTTTGGGGTTCGTGGTTATCGGCAGACACCTGACTGCTGCTGGCAGTCTGCTCCCACGCTTCACCAGAGTGCTTGGCCCAAGAGGTCACTTGATGCAGGAGGAGATACTTGGTTTCATGTGTGTGAGGGTGAAATTTTGGTACAGACGTTCGCTGGAAGAGTTCTGTTCCTTTTTATCAATCGGGGCGGATGGGAATTAAATACTAAACTGAGTGAAAACATGAAAAAATTGAAGCATATGTGGCGTAAAGAAAGAGTAGGCTTTATTGCACACGGCTTCTGCTTTTCTTTGTGCGCTTCCTCTGGTTCAGCGAGAAAAGTGACCTTGAATTCTGTTCCTCATGACATTGGTCTGTGTTACGCTGCTGGTGGTGACACTATAGCAGGGATAAGGAGGGGTTTATTGTTGGTTAGACCAGCTTAATGCAAAGGGATGTTCCAAAGGCTGCCGTAGTCGGAAAAACATCCGGATGGCGTTTGGTGGTCTTCTGGCCCCGATTTTGTAAAATTTTTGTTTCTGTTTAAAACTGCAGATGTTGGGGTAGGTTGGGCATTTGAAGAATGGAAATATTTGAAGAAAACACAGGTTTATAGTGAAGTCCTATTTCTGTTGGATGTTAACACGAGGGTTTTTAATCTTTCCAGATTCAGTTTATGTAACTGTGTTAGATGGAAGAGAAAGGAACATTTCCAAAAAGATGTGCTCACCAGTAAACCCCCACTTCCAGGAAAAAATGAACTTCAGTCTCTCAAACTCTCCTCTTCCATTAAATGATGCAGTGAAATGATGAAGACCAATGAAGGAACCTGGGACATCTCCATAAGAAAACATCAATATACAATGCAAAGCCAAGAATTGCCATGAATTAAGACTTAAGATCTCCTTTTTTTGTCCTGGTGACTAACATGTCAATACTTTCAGCTTCTAATGATATCCATAATCGGTAACACACAAAGAGAAGCCTTTATTCTGGAAATCGAGATTGGTGTTTGGAAATGCTGTCTGGAATGGAGACGTGTCCTTTACCGTAACTCGAAACAAGACTTTGGGCAGGGGAGGGTCAAGTCCTAACTCTTAATTCTGCAGTTACCTTTTCTTCAGTCCTCACAAATGTAGGCACAGCAGTAATGGAAATTAACTTTTTTTTTTAAAAAAAAAAAGATATATTCAGTTTGCAGTAGACATTCCTTATGTATTATTGTTTGTATTTATTTATGATTATCAATTTAACATTAATATTGTATCAAAAAACACTCCTTATGAAAATGAGTATGGATGTATACAGTATGTCTGATTTTTATCCACAAAGAATGAATCTGATTCAGAATGCTTTTCAGCTGACATACAGAGCACTAAATATTTTAAAGGTCTGAATCTAATGAATTCTCAGTATATATGGGAATTAGGGAAGAGCTGTAAAATGCATTAATCCTTATAGTCAATTCTGTGCCTAGGATTTTGCAAGGGAACAGTTAACTGACTAGAAGAAGCACTACATTTTTAATTCAGCATTAGTGCGTTGGGAAGGAACTTTATTGCTTTGTGCTTGGCATGTCATTATTTTTACATTTGACATTATAAGGCCTTTCCAAAATGAATGTGAGGAATTGCTTTCACTTTAAGACTTTCCTTCTTTTCTGTAAAAAAAAATAAAAAATAAATAAATAAAATCGAGGTGGTGTGTGCTGGGGGGGGAAGCCTTTTCATTTGGCTAGCGCCATGTTTATGATCACGTACCTTTTAAAAGTAAAAAAGGGGAAGTAGTTTCCTTGCATACATCTAGCGGGTATTTAGTTAACGAAGAATTAAAGTAGCACTGTTGATCGGTGCTTTGTGTAAATACATCATAACTTTTGGGTGGAGTGGGGCCTTCGGAAGGATAGTCAATGATATGAAAGCAATTCTGTACATGAATTAAGCATACTTGCTGCATTGTCTCTGCAGATTCTATTTTTGTTTAAAATATTAAAATGTATGTTCGCAAAAATGGGTGGATTTTCAAATAAAATGCAGCTTCCACAGAACTTTTGTTACGGTATGAAAGTCTGAGGTGCTTTTTTTCTTTTTGCTGCTTAAAATGTGCACTGGTAATTGCTTTGTTTACTTAATAAAATACCAAATGTGTTTCATACGTGCATATCGTATTACAGGAGGTGCAGCACCACGCGTCCATGAATGAGGTGATCTATACATCATCTTCCCGGTGCTGCTGCAGTCAGCAGCCTTAGGTCCGCTGTGATGAGTTGGCTGATGAAGAGCTGAATTCCTTACTTAATATGATAGTTCACAATCTTCTAATTTTTCAAAATATTCATTGCAATAAACTTGTACTGTTTATATGCCCCAAAGAAATGATTTGGGTATCTTCCCCCATCTTCTGGCAGAAGGTAATGCCAGAGAAGCTTTGAACATCATCTGTAGACACTAGTTTTCATCAGGGAGATTGGATAGAAGTGGAACTTTTCTCAACTACCTGAGGCTCTTACTGAAGGGTGTTACATCATGAAATGATGGGTACAGATCAGTACATTTAAAATTCCTTTCTAAAAGCATGAATAAAAAAAAAAAAACCCTGAACCTGTTACTTTCAGTGCATATAATGCCACGTGCCCAGGCCTGGGGAGTTTCATATACAGTTTACTTAAATCTTTACCTTCTTACAACTGAGAATTCCAATGGGGCGCTGTGCCACCAGAGAACAACTTCTTTTTAGTTTCTGCTTGCACTCAGAACATCAAAAATGTGAATTGTTGGGGTCAGCTGGAAAAAAGATGCACATTTGTGGCCTGTTGGCTAAATCGGTAACTACCGCGATACAAATTATTCTGAAACACAAGCCGTATCTTGTATGAAAAATGAAAGCAGCCTTTCCTGCTCCTGCATTGTCCAGTGTGCTGGGCTGTGATAAAACCAGCCACTTGCCTTGCCTGGTGCTCTGCCTTTTCAGGTCTGTGGTGCTCACTCACACTTACTCCTCTGCAGGTTCAGCCTTGCTAATAAACCTTGCTTTTGGTTTAGTCTTCAAACGGGCTTGAGAATTCTCCTGAGGACTATTTTCCCATTTACTTTGTTTCTAATAAATATGTTTGCTTTCCGTATTGCTGGAATAACACTCAGTTGGAGCTTAATTTAAAAAGCACAGCTCATAGACATGTTTTTTTTTGAATCACTGGCCATTTTCAGTAATGGGGGATTGTGAAAACCTGGTTCTCCTCAAAATTGAGTTCAAAGGTTGTTTAATCTAGAAGACCAAATTCTGTCTAGGAAAGCTGCCTGCTCCTGCAAGCAGTGGAGGATGTAGTGCTTTGTTAGAGAGCTGCTGTTCCTTTTAGAGCTTTGTGAAGGAAAGTGGTGGGTCAGAGTCATCACAATGGTTTTTAATTTTCTTTTAATCAGAGAATTCCATAATTCATAGAATGGTTTGGGTTGGAAGGGACCTCAAAGCCCATCTAGATCCAACCCCCTGCCATGGGCAGGGACACCCTCCACTAAACCAGGTTGCCTAAAGCCTCATCCAGCCTGGCCTTGAACATTTCCAGGGATCCAGGGGCATCCACAGCTTCTCTTGCAAACCTGTGCCAGTGCCTCACCACCCTCACAGGGAAGAATTGCTTCCTCAGATCTAATCTAAATCGACCCTTCTTCAGCTTAAACCCATTCCCCCTTGTCCTGTCACTCCATGCCCTTGTCACCAGTCCCTCTCCAGCTTTCCTGTGGGCCCCTTCAGGTACTGGAAGGCTGCTGTAAGGTCTCCCTTCTCTTCTCCAGGCTGAACAACCCCAACTCTCTCAGCCTGTCCTCATAGCAGAGCTGCTCCAGCCCTCTGATCATCTTCGTGGCCTCCTCTGGATTCGCTCCAACAGCTCCATGTCCTTCTTGTCCTGGGGACCCCAGAGCAGGTGGGGTCTCACAAGAGCAGAGTAGAGGGGGAGAATCACCTCCCTCGACCTGTTATTCATGGGAGGATTTAAAACAACTGGATTTACCTCTTGAGACAATTACTCCTGCCAGAACAAGACCCTGAACAGCTAGTAACTTTATGTGTTTTCTAAGAGCCCAAAAGTAGAAGCTTCATCTGAAGAAATATCTAAATTCTTTTGCTGTTTCTGTTCTTTGTTGCAAAGTTATGAACTGAACTGTGATATGCAATCAATTAACACTGACAGTACCTCGGGAAAGAAGTGTTTAAACACAGGTTTTACATGACATCAGATGGTCCATTCAACCAGCTGCTGGAGTAAGTTACAGGCTCTCCCAGCTGCCAGACAGCCCGTTGGCAAGAAGGGACAGGGCGAAACATGCGGCTTTCACTACACACAACGCGCCTGATTTCAGAGCTGGGTATAGATTTTGTAGCGACATAAGTGAATTGCAACTTGAAGGCCGTGACATAATTGAGATAAAGATTGTGGTAGAAAAAGGACAATTGGGTAGCAAAAATACTGGGAAAGATAGGAAATGCTGATGGGAGCAGAAGATTGGGAAGATAATACAAGGGGTTGTGAAGAAATGTGCTGAGTACAAAAGAAAAAGCAATGTCAATGGGAGCGTCCGTAAACTAAGAGCTTTCTCCTTGGCCTACTGGCAAGCTTTTGACTTGACCTTTGCAGCTCCCACTGCAGGGGCGAGCAGAAACAGCCTTGACATCTTTTGCTGAATTTGCCCAACAAGAAAAATCGATGAGTTACTGATATTTTCCGTGTTCCAGCTGCAGGCTGAAGGGACTTGGCCAATCAGTACGCTATGTCCTGGCTGGAACGGGAGAATGAGTGAGGAGGAGGAGAGAGCCCTGAGCAAGTTCTCCTGAAGGTGTAACATCACTGCCACCCACTTGGCACCCTTCTGTAGCTGAAGGTTGAGTAAATACTATATCCATTTCACTTCTGGGAAGTGACTTGCCCAAGATAACAAATCAGTCTATGAGTTGAGTAAAACATACTTCTTTTCTTGTTTCTCTGCTGATGAAATTTCCCGAGGCAAAGATCAAAGAGCCTTAAAACAAACAGCCAACTTCCTTAAGAGTTCTGTTGTGTGAGCCGATAATGCCACTGAAAGGTGCTGGATGCAAGCGTATTGCTCTGGGTATCCGGCAGCAGCAGTATACAAGGAGAGCTAAGGTCTGGGGTTTATTTTTATAGCATAGCTCTCTGCTGAACTTCCCCAGGCCAGCTACAGCAATTGTCTAAGTATTATTTGTCTAGAAAAGCATTATTTGATACAATTTTAGCCTCCTGCTGCACTTTAATCACTAAAAGTGAGGAAAAGATCCAGCACCACGTCAAATCCGTTTTCCATGGCTCAGTTGAGATGTTCTATGGGTCACACATGGGAACGGTTGTTGGCATCTCAGTTCCACATCTTGTCCTAAACTAACATCGTGTTTGCAGTAGTCTGCAGAACATGAGTTCTGAAGTGTCCTATTACAGAGAAACATCTTTTCTCCCACCCTGGACTCAAAATCGGAGGGAAGGTCTTTTTCAGAGGAACATCCAGCTGCAAAACATCAGTGGCTTAAGACTCTAATGCCATGAGGTTCTCCGTTCCTGGCTTGTCACTGCAGTGTAACTTTTTAGTCCATTAGCTTCTGCCTTGACCTTATTCTGGCAAACTCCTTTTAACCCACAGAAGCAGAACGTTTAAGAACTTCTCCCTCAGAAAGCAGCCAAACAAGAACAAATGCTGCAGAACAAGTCTCCTACCCTCATTTACCCAAAACATGCAGGTCTGGACCTGTGTAAACATTGCCATGTTATATAACCTAGCTGCATCAGAGGCTGCAAACCTCTTGAAAACCAGACCAAAAGTTAAATAAAAAGTAACCTACGTTCCCCTGCAGCTCAGGCTGGGGAGAGATCATACTTGCACGGCCAGACTATAGAGCAATATAACCCAGTTGCTCGATTCTACAGGGGAATTGCCGAGTGAGGGTTCTAACAGCAGCGTGCTGAGGTAAGCAGCTCCTTTGATCGCTTGGTGCAGGCCAGCAGTACAGCCCACCCCACTCCATGGTGATTTTTATACATTTGATGTTTCTCAGTTCTATTAAAATGGCTTTTATTACCACACAATTACATGCAACTTGGGCGATGTTTATATTTCTTTAACTTTGAATTTCCAGTGAGCACTTGTGAGGCTTTTTTCCTCTGAAATGTCAAGTTTCTTAGGAGTTGTGTGACAGTTAAATACCTAACTGTAGCTCAACTGAGGATTTGCTTGGATTATAGTTGTGGGGACATGTGGCTGTTTTTCCGCATCTTGTAGCCTAACTAGTGTCCTATCGTTGTCTTGTGCAACAGAAGCACAGTAAAGAAAAGGTATTTCATAATGCTGGGAATTTAAGGGTGACTCCTGTAAATTTGTCCTAACTGGAGTAGTGAATCCTGACTCCTGTTGTTTAAGCAGGAGTTGGAAGCATTGGCCTTACTACCAGAAAGCAGACAGACCAGCCCTCTGTTTTACAACATGTTGCTCATTTCTCAGAGGTTTTGCCAGTAACAAAATTGTCAAATCCAGATGCCTCATTTGCCAAAAACCTAGCCTTCTCCATATAAAAGCCTCATGCTGGCCTTAATACTAATCCTATAGAAATCAAGGGCATTTGGGACACTTCACTAAATATGTTTCACTACAGGCTGTTGCTTCTGGCTTGCGCAGGCTGCCTGTGGCTTGAACACTAATTAGCATGTTTCAGCTTTCTTTTTAACTCCCTCTCACCCACACAGGCAGTTCTGGTAAAAAGGCTAAACAGTGACTCAAAGAGGCAAAGTTTCTTTTTTCCAAGGTACAAGTTGATGTTGTCCTGCCACGTATCATACACGTGTTGGTATGTGTTATGGGCATAAGCAAAGAGAAGCTGAGAGATGGGCCCTACATTTACATTGCTAGGAAATGTAAATGCCCTTTGGGGAGCGGTGGGGAGAGGCCTTTCTTTAACTGAGAAGCTGTTCGGCTTAAACCATATTCTAATTCTGCGACTAAATGAAAAGCTAATCACTGAGCAGAACTAATCTCTCTCTCACGTAAGCCATTTCATGGGAAGCGCAGGTCACTCAAAGAAAGCCAGTGTCGCCAAGAGGAGGCTTCTCTTGTGCTGAAAACATTACCATCTCGCAAGTACAGATCCCCATTCTCTTAACGCTCGGAGTCACCTCAGTCTTTGCCATAACTCAGCTGGGTTGTAACAGAGACACGTCCAAACTCATGTAACTTTACTACATGGCAACACAAGTGAGATTTACTCTGAGATTAAGGCTCCTACCTTTACATGTCTCCTTGTGAGCCCAGTTTCTGAGGAGCTGTAGTCAGTGGAGCCCAGAGAACAGTTCAACTCGCCTGCAAGTCGAGACACGTGCTGTGCAGGAATATCTGAGCTTGCTTGAAAAAATGAAAATTTTTTTGTGCTGAAGTACAGGATAAGATGAGACACTGCATAGATACAAGTTGTTTACAACGTTTGAAGTTTTTTTCCAAACAGCTGATGAACCCATAAAGGGTTTAAATCAGCTTATTCAAATCTTTCACAAGTTTCTAAACAGGAAATGCATAGGTCAGAAACCTACTTGTGCCTGTGGGGAGTAACTGCATTGTGTGCTCCTGGCAGGGTGTCCAGGATGGGCAATGAGAGCGGAAACCCCCCCCCGCACTGAACCAATGCACTAAAAGATACACATTCACTGAGACTAGCCACAAACCAAAGATACAGGGTTACACAACATATTTGGCCAATTCTAAAAAAAAATAAAAAAATTTAAAAAAATTAAAAAAAAATTAAGACTTTGATGATTTTTATGCTTTTTTTTTTTTATTTTTCAATTAATGTTTGGTTATTTCAATACATTTAAATTGGGGTTTTATGGTGACAGATAAAATGCATTCAAACATTCAATTTCTAGCAATAGTGGAATTATGCTTGGATAAATTAGGTTCTGCTTTAGGAGAGTCATAAGTATTTTGTAACAGTTCTACATTTCATAGCAACCTGCATCTACCCATTCAGTGTCTGATCAAGAGGGAATTCCACATTTGATAGTCTGCAAGCGGGAACCACAAAAACTAAATATTAACTTGGATCCTTTATTAGATATATGTGCAGCTACATGGACTGAGAAGCCCAAAAAGCGCACAAGTTCTCACAGTGGTGAGGAAAGGAACCTTTCAATTAGCCATCTGCACGCCGACATACCTCTCATTAAACTCGTAAATCACTATTCACGCACTCAGAAACAGTTTCCACAAAGCACAGTGCCACATGCTCCTTGAAGAACAGAGCAAATATTTAATGAACTGAGAATGTTACATTTCTGTGTTAACAGCACAGCTTGCCTATTTTTAACCAACCTTTTCTTTAGATAAGGCCTTGATCATCTGAGCTGTGATGTGCCCGTCTGATTTACCAATCATGCCATCTTCTTTGTGGCTCCTGCTTGGCATTTCTTCTGGTTCTTTATGAATAGGCATGGCTCTTCCAACCACACACATTAGCTTTGTCTCCAGAGGACCCAGTTTTAAGTATTCCTTAAGAAGAAAGAATATTATTCTTCTTCAATTACATAGAAAAGCAGCCGTTCTTCAAAAAACCCCAGCAATTTTCCTTTTAAAAGCAACTGTAAAGATGCTGCCCTGGGGTTGCTATGTTTGGTAATGTCAGTGTTAATGGGCTTGGTTTACAAGCCAAGCTCATCTTAGGACCTGCAGCCCTGCTGCCCTCTTTTCCTGTATGTTTTCACCAACAACACTTTCTCTGCAAAACCAAATTCTGCTCCTAAGTTCACTTCTGTGAGAAGAATTAAACTAATCCAACAGCTCACTACTGCCAAAAGAGAGAGGTCCAAGTCCAGCCATGCGCTTCCACCACGTCTGTGCTGGCTCTGGTCTTCTCCAAACCTCTGAGTCAATTCAGTTGACTAATCCAACAGAAAACTAATTCAGAAGGAGAAAAAAAGGCAAGCTTTGCTGCTGGGTTAGTGAGTGAACTGGCTACAGAAAAGGCTGACGTGCACTGTGGGTTCCCTAAGGGCAGGAGCAGGACCATAAAGCCAAGGCCAGGGAGAGGGAAGAAAGAATCTGACTGCGCAAGTTCTTGTATCACCTCTATTTAATAAATGCTTTCATAATAGTTGCCAATGCAACTTCACCGTTTGCAATTAGACCTTCATTGTTATAAAGTACAAGATGTCAGCAGCACCTATGTCCTTTCGTGGGGTGGGCTCTGATCAAGGCAACAAGATGATTTCTCTGATCACAAGTTTCAGTGTATTAATCAAACTAATGCCAAATTTCTAGAAAAAGAGGAGTTACTGGGTTTGTCTGGTTTTTTTTAAACTCATTACTGAGTATGTCTGAATAGAATACTCAAGAGTAAAGAAACATGGAGAACCATCTTCACACAGCAAGCCCCGCAGTCTGCCCCACATTGATATCATCTTTAATTTGCCGTAGAAATCGATGATGTAATGTATTGTCTGAGAGTAATTAGTTTATTTAGAAATGTATTTAAGTTTTCATAACTCAAGGATGTATTATCAAAGGCACCCAGGAAACATCTTTTTGCAACTTAGGGTCAAGGATCTCCTGAAGCAGACGCCACCACCTCTTTTGAGAACCACACACACTCTGCCTATTTACATATAACCTGTACCTTTTTATTTTCTCAAACCCCGTATTTTGGACCCAGGAACACCTTCAGCCTGGCCTTCTGTTGAAGGAATAAATTACTTGTTGATCGCTTAATTCTACTACGCAACATGAATTCTAAAGGATCAGCATCTAAGCAAATGAGCCTGTGCAATACCATAGAAAACTGTCACTAGGTGACACTCAGAATTCTTTGTAGGGGGAGCTTCATCCTGCCACTCACATATGCTGATTCCTAGGATACCATTCAATTGCCAAAACGACGTGTCTCGTGCTATCAGAAATGCCCTAAGGCATCCAAAACATCCACATGAGGCTGGCCTCCATGACGCAGAACCTCTGCTATTTTGGCCCAGCATCTGAAGGACAGGGAGTGCCTTAACCATCTCAACTAGCACCAGATGCCTACAATTAAACATCTGAATTGTACACTAGGTAAAAGACATTGGAGTTTTTTCTGCTGTAATACCACCAGGAATAGAAGGCTCCTGGCAGTAGCTCATGTTCTATACTGAAATATGTTTGTGTCAGTGAAAGACCCGATTACTTTAACTCATACCTGGAAATCTTTTTCATCTTCATGCAACAAGCTATCAAGAGTTGGAGTGAATAACTTTTCCCACAGCTCCTCATCACTGTCTTGAGGCTTCTCATTCTCTGTTTTAGACTGAATCTTCCGAAAGGTGTTTTTTTTCTGGCAGGGGACTGTGGCACTTCTGAGGCTTTCATCTCCATCTGTATTCGCTTTTTAAAGAGAAGAACAATGATGTGTATGTAATTGTTAAGCTTTATGAAGATCAGAATTAGTACTTGGTACAAGCATTGCCTGTAGTCTTTAATGTGGGTTGGTCAGTGAGATGTGAAGAACAGCTTGGGAGGATTTTTAATTGGCAATCCAAGCCAAATGTTGATTTTGCTCCCTGGTATTTTTATGTTTATTTCTGCTCACAATTTCTGATCAAGAACAGGAACAGAAATGGATTGGAGGTTAGAAGGAATCCCTGTGGGATGGGGCAAGGGAAAAAAAAAGAGCTTTTATCAGTTCAACTGAAAGCCTATATAGCCCTGAATAGTTAAAAAAAATAAATAGGAAAGGCAGCAAAAACAAGTATAAACTTTTTCTGTATCAATGTGTGTATCGCTATGTGTACATACATACAAGTTCCTAAAACACAGCTAGTCTACTTATAACTCCTCTGAAGAGCTCACATTTGCAGTTGACTAATTCTCAGGACGATAGACAATTCTGGACATGGACTGCCAAATTATATGTTTGCCTGGGACAGTGACTTGACCTCAGCTTATTGGAAAAAAACCCCTACTTATCCCAGTAATTATTGTAAAGGTCTAGCAAAGGTAATAGAGCTGAACTGTTCAAAGTAAACATATTTCTAAGTCAGAAGTCTCAGTCAACATGTTTGCTGTTCCCTGAAGGTTCCAGAAAGGCCAACCTATGGCTGGAACTGATCGGGACTTCAACAGACTTGTTCACGCATTCATAACTGTATGGCTTCCATTTTTGGAACTTACCTCTTCGATTTAGTTTTGCCCTTTTTTTTCCCCTCTTTCTTCTACTCATGTAAAGTGAGTGAATGAAACATGTGATACTAAGGAATCCATACAAACCACACTGAATGGATAAGCACACTCATACAGTCCTTCTTGCCTAATGGTATATCCACTTCCTGGACACACCTACCAGAACAGATGGAGATTCAGCCCAAACTTCAGTACTATCCCAAACAAACTTCAGACCTATCCCAAGGCCTCAGTACTGCTTACCAAGATTTTCAGTTCAGGCTCAGCTCCATGCAGCTTCATTGGCTCTTGCTAGGGATTTATTTATAATTTAACTCTGGTGTATCTCTTTGAGCTGAATGATTGTAAACTTCAGGTGAAAGCCAGTGTAGAGTTCAAGAATGTCCTCTCAGGGACAAGACAGAATGAAGTTATGATGATATGGATCAGTAAAGAACTGATTAAGATATGAATCATATCTTTATGAAAGATGGTCAAGCCTATTAACCACATTCCAGGCTAGCTCTATATGAGTAATTACATTCAACCTAAACACCAATATCAATTTTAAAACTGTATTACAGGCAGATTGTGGTTTTATCTTCTTAATGCAAACTACAGTCTATCATTGCTGTGATGGCTGCAATTAAGTGGGAAATTAAGTATTCACCATGTAAAACAGGCAGTTTGATAAAAAACTTAAGAAATAAAAAGTATTTAAATATTCAGTGACTTATCAGTTCTTATAAGCTGCTGGCATGTGCATTACCTGCGTACTCTCTATACTCTACTTCTTTCATTTCATCCTTAGGAAATTCATCTTGCAAGCCAGCTGTCTGGGTAAGAAACAAATGCCTATGAAATTAAAAAAATAAAGTGAAACTCATATTAGAGGTCTGAATTTTCTCTCTGAATTGTTCTGTGCAATTGTCCTGTGTGGGGTGTAGGAGGGAGGGCACCCTTTCTGAAAGCCATTTACTGCCTAACCACAAATGCAGAATAGCGCAATGTTTTAAAAATGCAATGGAGGCAGCCAGGTAGCTTAGTGGCTAATACATTGTGCTTTTTTATTCTTAGTGCCTAAATTCAGCTATGTCCATGAGACTAAAAGAAAACAAATGTTATAGTCTCCAGTCAGTCCGAGACTTAAACCACAGCTGGCAGCTCTCTCTTAAAAGCAGTCCAAAGTTTGGAGAGGAGAGAAAAATGGTCACTTCTTAAGACTTGGAACTTTTTTATGCAATATGGCTGAAATCACTAAGCCAGGACTGGAAAAGGAAGATGAATCATTCCCATTGTTACATTGTGCTTTTAATACCATTAGTGTTGACATTTTGCAGCTAAATTAATCTTTCTCTAGGGAACAAGTTAAATAATTTCAAAATACAAGAAACAGACACCTCTATAGACAGACCTATCCCAAGGCCTCTTCCTTACTCAGTACCAGGTCATCTGTTTCACTTGAGATTGCAAAACCCCGTATATTTGCATATTAATCTTCACATCCTTAAACATTTTGCCAACAATAAAGGAAAAATCTATTACTCAGCATTTGGTCTGAGAAGCTGGGTCTGAGACAATTACAAGAGAAAGAAACTATTTCCAAGCCCTAGTGGTATCCCCACTAAAAGAGAGTGAGTGTTGTTGGGTCTTAATAGATTATTAAAGAACCCAGTTTCTTCCCTGAGTTTTGGTATTTAGAGGGTTACAATGTCACCCTCATCCTTCAGAGACACAAGTCCCACACACACTTAGTCAAATCCTGCCTCCCCTCAACTGGGAAACTACCTTGGCTTTGTTGTGGGAGAGCCCAAATAGCTCTAGAGGCAGGAAAAGGCATTATCTTTTTTAAAAAAAATTAAATCACTTTTGAATCTGTAAAGGCATTTTACCTGGGCACTCTCAGATTCTGAAGTTTGCCATCAATCAGTTTTGTCACTAAACCAATATTTTCTTCTTCCAGAAGCTGAATAGAGGCTTTCAAATCACTTACTTCCTTTTGATACATCTTAACCTTTTGACAATTAAATAAAATAATAATAATTAAAAAAATAA